TTAAGGGCCTTGCTCAGGGGCCCAACGGAGTAGGATTCCTCTGCCGGCCGCGGGATTTGAACCGGCAACCTTCCAGTCACAGGCACAGATCCTTAACCACAGAGCCACCGCTCCACCCAACTGGAGATTATTTGAAATGTAAATGCCAATGCACCATAGCTCTCAAGAACCACAACTGGTCACCCATAACTTAAATCCATTAATGAACTAAATGTTTCAAAAACCACATCTTCTAAATTTCCCCTGGGGAGAGAGATGGATTGATAAGTAACTGTGGGAACTGCCAGATTAAGAAATCTGGCAATTCTGAAATGACAATGAGAAATTAAGATAGGATGGTACTCATTACCATATAAAAATGCAAGGTCCAGGGATATTTAGAGAGCAATGACTAATATTCAGGTTAATAAAACAGATTTGAGATTTTTTTTCTGAGCAATATGCAGTACATGTAAAATGAAACAAAATGAGAATAAGTTTTACAGACAGAAAAGGACAGGATCAAGATTTATATTCCAACATACTGTATCTTTGTTTTAAATTTCCATAGAGAGGACTAAGTCAGGAACAGTGTGCAGAAATGAAATCATAGAATAGAGGAAAATGTTACGTCTGCTCTTTTTTAAGGGGATGGTTATAATTTGAGATCTTTCCATGCAACCTGCAATGACGTTTTAACATCTGCATTTTTAAATAGGGCAGAATAATTGATATTTGTTTTTTTTTCTGCTACATAAAAGTACTAAAGTGCTTATTTGTCAAATAAGGTCATTGTTCCTCTTGCGACCTACAGTATATAACTGGACTTCCACTCAGCCCAGTCTGCACCGGTCGGCAATCACTAGTCCCCCACACTGCACGTGGCAGCTGTACTCCTCATCAGTGATCGGATTGACAAAAATGAGTTTCAAACATTCCAAAGAGCACTTTCACTCAGGAAAACCGCCATGGCTTGTTATTGCTAGCCCTTATTTCTATTTTTAGAAGAAAGCCATGTTCATGAACAAGTTTCACAACAAAAGGATATTCTGCACATGTCTTTGTCGCTCTGCTTGAGGAGTCTCAAAGCCAATTCCCTCCACACCTGGTGTCATCTAGTTTTAATTCCATCCCAAGTAGTCAGTTGAATAACCTACTTTTCTTAGACGTGAGTTTTTCTTAATGCGTTACACATTTTATTACTCAAAGCATTCTCTTCATTAAATGGCAGAGTTACATCTAAAACACCCCAGAGCCTGGTTAGAACTATTATACAAATTAATTTAACTAGATTAGGAGTGTAACAGAGCTTTTAAAGAACAAAAACAAAAAGACACTATGCCCTGCATGAAGTAAGAACAAGACCCCCGTCCTAGTTCCTGAATGTGGAGAGTGGGTGTTGTACATTTAATAATTACAAAGCAATATCCGAAAACTCCGCCTGGAGCGATTAGTAATATTTATAGTAAAACGCTGCCACTTTCTTTTTACCCTCCACGATGTTGCAATGAGTCAAGAGTCATTTGTGTTGTGGCCAGCATTAAACATATCAGTAAAAACACTGGCAAATATCTGTTTTTCTGTGATAGTATGGCATTTGATTTTAAAGCCCCTGTGGGATCTTTTAACTCCCAAGCATTCATAACTTCAGATGTTTTTTTTCAGCTGATCCCATTCCATTAAGCTCCATCCCGATGGGGCCCAGCCGTGAGATCTCTGCTAAATCTTTGCTGCCCTGAAATTAACCCTGCAAAGTAAACCTGGCAACTGTACAAACAATGTCACTTGGGCTGCCCTCCAACATATCTTGAATGGAAATAAAAAGTTACTAATCTGTTTTAGTAGTCTTCAAATTCACCTCTGTCCAGGGATCACAGATACACAGTCTATGTTGGTCAGAAAAGTAAAGATTATATCCACCTAAGCAGTACATTTTTATCAGTTTACACTACTCAATAAAACTTAATTTTAGTTTTAATGTTTATTATATGCAATTTCACAGTATTTGGGAACAGATCTTTTACCACCAGATACTATTAGAGATTGTCGTAATACTTCAAAATGGTTCCGATTTTACCTTTGTTAACAGGATATAAGTTGAACTGATCAGAACTAATTTTTCAGTTTCATTTGATTCCTGTTTTTCCCCTGTTTCACTTTTTTTTTTTATCTTTACCCGTCTGTCTGTCTCTCTCCTTCAGTGTGTAGTAAATCTGATTAGTGAGCTACAGGAGCAGATGTGTAAGTTTCAGCAGGAGATCAATACGAGAATCCAGGAGAAAAAGGCACTGGAAAATAATCCTGATACTAAAGCTAAGGAACCACACCACAGCACAGACACAAACTTAGGCAGCTCAAACACTGAAGACTGCTGTCGCTGTAGAGGAGAGAATGTAGGCAAATCTTTGTGCACGAACAGATGCACGCCCTGCTTGACCTAACCACTTAAGAGTCCTGTTCAAATAACTTTTCTCTTTTGGAAGATCTGCGTTCTCATACTAATAGCCTATCTGGAGTGCCTAAATAATATGTGATCACCAGGATTCTGAATAAATTGAAAAGCAATCACTTATTACCTGACATATTATTTAGGTATCCCATTCCCACCCCCACCCCCAAAACAATCTCACTTAAGCCTTAGGATATTTGCATGTACAGTATGTTATGGGCTTATATGTGAAATCTGGTCATTTTCCGTGGGCTTTCCTTCAATAATGAGATGGCTCAAAGATCTGATAGTACTGCACTGATGAAACATTTGACCCTTGAGGAGAAACATCACCCAACACGTGCAGTGCTAGTTTTGCACACTTTAAAACTGCTTCAGAAAAATAAAAGCCAAGTAGAGAATGATTACAGCATGACTGAAATCTACTATAAGAAATTCAAATGCTGTAAAACGGACACAGCCGTGAAGTCTCACTCATCAGTTTTCTAGTTTTTTAAGAGAATTTTGAGCCATCACTCATGGGCATGGGCAACATAACTCATTGTCTGTCGGTATTAGGTTTAATGAAGTTAAAAATTTTACACCGTTTCCTAGATGATTTTTGGGAGTGGATCTTCAAGAAATACTGCAAGTACTACTTCTGCTGGAATTCCACACATCTTTATCAACCTGGCTCCAGTCTGGAGTACGTGGTATTTGAAGTTTCCCCCCTAAGCCAGGATTGAAATTGATAGCCAATACCCAACTTTTTTCAACGAGAATACATACATTAAAGAAAAGTACATTTTCAGCAAAACTTCCGTTACTCATACAAGTGGTGCTTATTACCACAAAGTCTCCAGAATGAGGAAAAACTACTGTCTTACTTAACCAGAGGTTTGCATTAAAAGAAGCACTGCTTATTTAGAAGGATCAGAGAAAGCAAACCTTTTTTAGCTCTCCAAGCAATAGCAATTCAAAGATCGGTCTTGCACGCTGATTGATTTAAGGGTGGCTTCAAACACCATGTTCATCTCTACAGTGAGCTGGCAAAAACATGTAGAATTCCAGCAAGAGTAAGACACTCAGTGACCAAAAAGCACAGAACCTTTACTGTTAACAATTGTGAGTGGTGCACAACTGGCTAAGCATCTAATGCATTACATGGGGTGTAAAAAATCAGGAACATCATCAGCAGCATTGACCTCTTGAGCTTCGCTAAATGCGGAAAGATCTGGGACATTACCCGAAAATCCACTATCGGGATTTATCCAACTATTTATGGTCCTTTGTTGTAGTGGAATAAAGCAGTTGGTTTAAAAAGTGCATTTCAGGAAAAGCTATGCAAAACTCACACAGACTATACATTCATAAAAGATAAGACAGTTGTTGGAATTAAGACTGGGGGGGGGGAGGCATGATGCTAATTCAGAAACTTAACTCTTTCACTGCATTCATTTCAGCCTGCACCCCACAAAAATCTGTTTAATTTCAGGTTCTGCCTTCTACTCTGCTCTTTTACACATTACTGTAACTGGAGAGCAAAGCCCTTGTAAGAGGTGACTAAAAGTTCTAAATATTACTCTGTGGTTTGTGTGATTTTGAATAGCCTCCAATTCCCATTCATAAGTAGACATTCTAACTGCATTATGAGAAGCCCTGCTTGATTTTAAAGAAATTGCAAAGCTGTTGTTGATCAATTTCCTCAAAATAAGCACCCCTCAAATGTTCTGAGATTAAAAGTGCAATGTAGTTGCATCTAGATCACTAATGGGTGAGGTGGTTTCTTTGTTTGAACCATGTTTTTCCTCCTTGTAAGAGCTCAAAGGAGAATGCCTCAGCAGATTTCCTAATGTTTTCAGGGCCTGCTGCAGGAACTGAGAGTTCTGCAGAGCAAAGTGGATGAACTGGAGGGAGAAAAATGCCAGTATGAAAAAAAACTGAAAGCAACAAAGGTGGGCATAAATGTGTCAATTGCTAACGAAGAGGGTATATCAGGGTTTTTATAGCAGTTTTCTTAATTTGGACATTTACAGTTGAAGGGGTAGTATTTTTAAAGATTTCTGCCATTTTAAATAATCACCACAACACTCAACAACAACAACAAAAAAATCACATTTTGATATTAAAATTTCACAATTTCTTTTTTTTTTTAAACTAGAACTTCATATTTATTGGCTTTGCTCTTAGCTATATTGCTTGTAGGTTATGATGTTCCTTTCTTTTAGCTTACATGCCATCATTCTGACTCTCTTTCTTTCTAGCTTTCAATTTCTTATTCTCTCCATGTCTGTTACCAGTCCTTAATGACCAAGCTCTCTAGCCTGAAACTCACAGTTGAACACATGCAGGTAGAGAAACAACACTGGGAGGACAAATGCAGAACTGCTCAGGTGCTTTTTCTTGCTCATCAGATTACTTGGGCAACTCTGATGTTTTGCTCTTAAGTATTGTGTTGGCTGTTTTGTGGTCTTTTTCCTTTCAATTTTAGTGTTTTGTCAGTGGAATCTCACTCATCCAATTCCAGACACAATGGAAATAAGTTTTGTTATTACAAGAACTAGAGTGTTTTTGTTTTCCTGCTTGTAAAGAATACTTTGTGATTTTTTTAAAGTACTTAATGGTACTTAATTTCCTTCCTCACATAATCTACTAGTCACTTGCCATGTTTAGGTTCTCAAATCATAATATTAAGTTGACAGGTTTCTTTAAAAAATCGTCCTTAAACAGAAAGAAAAACACACTTAAAAATTTCCATTTTGCAATGCGAGACTTTAATTTGGGAAAAAATGTATTTGTAAAAATTTTTTAGGAATCTCCTAGTTATTATTCTCCAAGTCATAGACATTCTTACGGAATTCATGGCTTATAAATATTTTATGTAAGTTTCCCTTACAAAAATGAGTCCAATGAAGAGTTCTTCGTTGATACAAAGGATCTCTAAGTTCTGCTGAAGGAAAGACATACTACCTTAAGTAATCAAGGCTAGTTTATGAATCCCTACTGGCTCCTTTTAGGAGGCTACTACCACTGGTATTTTTTCCAGGCAAACACCTTGTGGTCAGCAATAGACATAGGAAACAAAATTAATCAGTGCCTATTACTGATTTTACAAATATGTTTAAGTGTGCATTTGATTTTAGATATAATTGGTTAAGTGAGGTTCCTTATTATGCATGTACAGTATATAATTTTAACGGTACTTTGTTAATTACTTTTCCTCTCCTATGCATTAAGCAACCTAATTCCTTAATGATGAAATCTTTGTCTACATTTATGTGCAGTGCTTGGACTGTGCACCTTCCTATTTATTCTGCATGACAATAGCGGGGATTTAAAAAAAACATTTTTTTAACTCCAGTTTTACTTCCACATGTGAACACTTTTTTGTTACAATACATGATTTTTTACTTAAAGCAAAACCTTACAATGTCCTTTTATTCTCCTTCCAACTTAAGAGCCCACAACTCCCCCCTCACACACACTCCCCTCCCTGAACCATAGAATGCAGTAAAGTTTTTTTAATTTCCATAGAATTACCCATAAAATACTGTTCTGCCATGAAGAAGTTATGCTTTTCAGAAAGTATCCTTCTTTTTTAAAATGCATCTTCTAACATAACCTTTAAAGTAACACTTAAATGGTTAGAAACGTAGCACCAACCACTAAATTATCAATCACAGTAATTTTACAGGGCATAATAGGACAACTTAAGTCTCTTCCCTGCCTTAAATAATATCCAGAACTTTTTACTACATGTAGAGAAGGTAAAATAATATTCATCTGTGTTACAGGCAGAAATAGCAGACCTTCAGCAGTTACTTGCTGCCAAAGATGCTGAAATCGAACGCCTGCAGAGTCAACTAATGTCACGAGTTCCAGTGTCAAATGACAATACAGAAAGAGGTAATGATAAAGCAAAATTTTTTTTAAATGCATGACCTTGAATGATTTTTTGCTAACAATCACATTAGACTTTTTAAAAGACCAAGGTACCACAGACAATCAAATCAATTTCAAATTTATATAACAAAGCACACGGTTTCATGACTGTAATTTCACAGTTTGTTTATAAAATACAAATAGCTCCAACCATAGCTCTGTCCAACGGAACAGCAAATCTACTTTTAACAAGATTAGATTCAGTATTAAATCTTTTGTGAAAGAAAAACACAAGTGAAATAGAGCTCTGTGCTTTTCAGGTGTAATGTACAAATTACATCACACCTGAAAATCATTCTTAATATAACCAGCAAGTATCCAACAACTTTTATTTGTTGGCGAACAGAAAGGTTATACTTTTCTGCTTCTTTGTAATAATAGGATACACATTAAGAAATTATTTCTACTAGAGATGAAAGAGATAAACATGTCAGTAATATTCATCTCAGACCTGGGAAGTGTCAGAGCCTGCAGCTACGCTAGACAAGTTGGAACCTGACACTTTACAGGAGTATACCTAAACAGACATCTTTCATTAGGTCACCTGGAGCCAGGCTTAGGGAGCATCTTATCCATCTCTGGTTTGCATGTTTATATAATTTGTTTGAGATCATTCCTAACGGTGACTTTTTCCATCCTCCTTCATTTTACTTCCTACAACGCTACCATCATAGAGGAGATGTATAGGAGAAGGCTGAAAGAAAAACGTAAGCCTTTAGATTCTCTTGTGGCCTTACTATGATGCTTACATCCCACCAAATCAACGGCTTTGTTACCGATGAACATCTGCCCTGCTTTTCACTGCAGCATCCAAGCTATTCCAAAGTGCTGTTTCAGCTGCCTTACACATTTCTGCCTGCGTGAAGCAAACACATTTTCAGAAGAAGTGGGGGGCCGCAGTTATCTAATCCATAACTAGATATTTTAAGCCCAATGGAATTTTTTAACTACAATCTTGTGGTATTTGAAAGCAAAAGATACTCAACCTTTTGATGCAGACCAGACTTAGATTTGCTTCTGTTTTTAACTGTTGTCATGAATCTGAATGGCCCCACCACATCTGTTTGCTTCCATATATTTCCACTCTGTTTGCTTAGCTGTGACCACATCAACATTATGGATCTTCTTAACCATTGCAATACATGACCAGTGGGAAGAGTCTGGACAATGCAACTTCATGAAAAGAGTGAGGTTGGCTTTTGAGATCCAGATATTTTAATATAGACAGAAGAACATGGACCGAGATGAGATGTTCAATGAAAGATCTCAAATATTATTTAAAATACAGAATCTCCATGTCTTGCTAAAAATCATACTGCACCGCTTACTCTCCTAACTCTCCAATCTATTAAAGTAAAAGGAAGAAAAAAAACACTCCCTCCTTTTCCCTCATAACTGAAAACGCTTCTTCCCTTACCCTCAGGATATAAACTCTTGGCATTTAGACAACCCCTCAAAAATAATCAATAATTAAATGCATGAGTAATCTAAACAACAGAGACACATTTCCAATTCATACGATTTAGTTTTAGACTAAAAAAAGCATTCATTAATTGATCCATTTTCTTTTAGATCAGGAACTACAACGACTGAAAATAGGCATGGATTCCTTGCTAACAGCAAATGAAGAAAAGGTAAGTAAAATTTGGTACAGTTGCAACTGGTCTCAGAAATGTGACATATCTAAGTCTTGATAAGCTTTTCTTGTGGGTGTTGGTTTGGACATTGAAAACCTCAATAAGAAAACTCGATGTACATAGTTAGAACTAGTAATTTAAGCATCTGCTAAATTATTATTTTCACTAGTGGTCTACAGTATGTGGATAATATATATATACAAATATTCATTTGAAAGACTTGAATTGAAAAATATCATCACCCATGTTAAGCTATTAAAAATAGAGTAAGCTTAGTTTTCACACATCCACCAAATAGAATGGACATTTCTAAAAAACAACACCTTATACTGTATGCCAAGACAGTTTAGCATTAATACTTTAAAATTACAAAAAGAACCATAAAAAATGTCAGGCATTTCTGCTCCAAAAAAAAGAATGTACCTATATGCACAAATACAGGACAAGATCCAGCCAACCATAAATTAAAAAAAAAAACAACTCTATCACTTACTTCGGGAATTCTTCACCTCAGATCCAAGCCTTCTTGAAAAGTCACTTCTTATTATCTGTGTCCACTGGTGAGCACACACACAAAAATACTCCCTTTTCGGCTGCAGGGCTCTTAATATTTGAAGGCCTGTTTTGTGCATCTTTATTTAGTAAAAAGTTTACCTTATATTCACTTTCATTCAAAGCAGGTTAAAGAACTGACTTGAGATCATGTGAATTCTTTAAGGTCAAATGTTATAATGCTAGAAAGAAATGAAATGATAGAATTTCTAAGATAGAAATGATAAGTAAAAACAGCTCCACTCTTCCTCCCACAGGCAACTGTGAGCAAAATCAACTACAAAGAAACACACCTGTAGTAACCTAAAGTGTTCATTAAGACTTTTGGTTATTAAGCAGAGGCAAACTAAAATCAGCTGCAAAGTTAAACACCAATCTTAGATATACATTAAGTCCTTGGTTAGTAAGCAAAGAGAAAAACTAACATAAACTGCAAAATTAAACACACCTGTGGCTTCATTGAGTGTTAATTAAATTGGTATATTGGTTATTAAGCAAAGAGAAACTAATGCCTCAGAGTCCTCCATTAGCATCTAAACCTATCCAAGCAACACCTCAAGGTTTTATACAAACAATAAGTGGTTGGAACAGTTAGGGATTAAGGGGTTTCTGAAAGTTTGGGGAGCAAATCCTTATGAGCTTGTCATTTGCAAGTCTCTGCTTTTTCCCATTGTTTTCAATCATCATGTTGCTTTCCATTAAAAATCTTAATAATTGCTGGCAAATTGAAAAGCATATACTGACAATCTTAAATATAGGAAATCCTCTTTCTTTTTTAGTTATTTTAACAAGGGAAATGTTACCATAGTTTCATAGTTATAGTTTATTACAGGAAACTTTGCCACAGTATATGTATTGGAATATAATTGGTATGGATACTTAAATTGTGCTCGTTAAACTGGCTTTGCATGAATTTCACAAGTCTCCAGCTGAATGCAATTTTTACTGCTTCATAGCATGCTTTTGGATGAACTATTACATGTAAACAATTGGCAAATTTCAAATCACTTCTGATTTACACTGACAACAATATATAGTCACTATAAGCAGTCACTGCTTAGCCACAATCATTTATTTTATGCACAGGAAAGACACAATGCATAACATAATAGCCGATTTTTTTTTCTCAGGGACACTTGCTAATAAACTACTGTAAATCATAAAAATCATTAAAAAGGAGAAACATGAAACTGTCTAATGCAAGGCACAAAGAAATTGAAAGAAACCTGCACATCCATTTGTCTTCAACAACTAGAATTGTTCATGTTTTCCAAAAAGAAATTTGGACAGTCTGTTTATAATTTGAAGAACTGAAAATAATTAGTACACTCTTCGTGACACATCTGGCTTATTTTAATAGAATTGCTTCCAAAAGCAGTTGAATAAAAACATGTATGCAAACTTAAATGTGCTAGAAGTATTATTTTCTTGTGAATCACATTTAGTTACTTGAATTGATGTTAATACTTTATCATTCTTGTAACAATCATTTTTAAATCTTTGATCAGTTTCCAGTAAAACAAAACACATTTAGTAACCAATCTAAAATGGTGATTTTTCAAGGTTTTTCATGCAGTATGCACCTGAAAGCAATTGTACAAATTTAAATGTGTACACAGGGTAACTCAAGTTTGGAAATTTTAGCTGCATTAAAAAAAAGGGAGCGAAGCTTTGAAACCCATTTATGATCATTTTTAAACCTGTTTTATGAGATCTGAAATCTGCACATTGCTTTGCAGGACCGTCGTATAGAGGAGTTGACAATTCTTTTAAACCAATATAGAAAAAGAAAGGATGTCATGGCAGTAACGCAAGGTATCATTATCTCATTCAAATATTACCTGTTTATCTCCACACTGACCAGTTAAAGGATGAAATATTAGTGCAATATATTTATCTGGATATATGTAGTCTTAAATCATGAAAAATGTCTTTATACATTATATTCCAAAGAATTTTTGTATTATTGTACAGGACCTTGTATCTAAGAACAATTATACGTATTTCTTTATCTGCACAAGTATTAAGAAGTAAGAAACATACTTAAATACACCTGCATAATCAGAAAAACAAACTTTAAACTAAGAAGGGTTATACTTTAGTACCACTAGGTAACTGTGTGGGTTTTCGCAGGCTCGGGTGAAAGAATTCTGTCTGGCAGCAGTGAGGAAGAACTCAGTGGGAATATGAAAATTAGAAACCCAGCACATACGACTCACACAGAAAAGGCCAGATCAGAGGTGAGGCCCACACCCCTCTCCCATATTACTATTTCTGTAAGTATTATTTAAACTGTCTGGTGAACCAAGTCAATGTGATTTACTGTCGTTATTATCTTTCTTTACAGATGTCTTCCAGGGGCTCCTCACCAATTCTGGTTTCACCCTCATCAACACAAAAGGAGCTGGACACCAGGCAAGTACTGTATTGAAGTAAAGAGTGTAATTGCACAAAAAGGATAGCAGTGCTTAAGCAGCAGATTAGCTTGCTCTTAGTATAGAAAGGGTCAGATGCATGAAAGGACCAAGCCTGGTTTAAGAGTCCGGATACAGAGAGACTAATGAGTTGGAAGCATTGAGTGCTGCAGTAAAGAAGTGCAATGATATCAGTGAGGTTTTAAGAAATGTTTCACAGCAGTAATTAATTATTGCTTATAGACTGTTGATGAATATTTAATCCTGCAAGAAGTTGCAAAAATGAGGTGGGGGCTATGCACATTTAGCTTCTCACATATTAAAATAAAATGTACTAAAGCTGCTGGCTATCTAACAAATTTTGTAATTTGTTAAGAACTTCAGAAACTAGGTTTATACTGTTGCACTCCACACACCTCTAAAAGGCAGTATGGGAACAAAGATGTCCCCTGTCCTTGCCTGCTGTAACTGCAGCAAGAATGAGACATGCTCTTCAACAGCACAGAGTGATTCATATGTGAAAAGAAAAAGCATTTCATAGCCGCACTACCCTCTTCTAGTCAAGGAAAACCAAATTAGTAACAGGGACAGACGTGTCATTCACATCAGTATTGGGCTACTAAAAGATTACCTTGTTGCCTCTAACCCAGCGAAGCCATTCCATGCCTGCAGTGGTGAAACTATTATTTTCCCTGCATGTTCAAGCCTCTGGAGTTTGTGGAGTAGTATAGCAACAGTCACTGGCTTTTCCCAGTCTGTATTTTCTCATGTGTTAACAGTAACCAGCTGAACTTTATCGAGATGAACGCACAAAATTATATTTTTCCTACAGGCTTGTTTGTCCTACAAACTTTGAAAGGGAAATTCTTTGTTATTTTTGGTTTTCCCTATGTAATGAGACCCAAAGCTTATTTTGACCATGTGTACAGATGTAGGAGACTCACTTGTTCTGTGACTGTGCAAGTTGTATATAATTCCAATTGAATCATCACATTGTTTTCACAAATCCCAGGTAGGCTCATCAAGGTTGAAAACAGTAACGTTCTCATTAAAGAAAAAACATCTTGAGACTTTTTGAACTAAAGGGGTCCAAAAATAGTTTACTATTTATGGTCTTTAGGATATTAATGTTTCATTATGGCTTAATGAGCAATTAAATCACATAATCCTCTTCTGTCAATTCTTCCTAAATACCTGGAGTTAATGTAAAGCATTGTTTTGTCTCTGTGTTTCCAGCTGCAAAAGTCTGTCTCCAGGGCCATTACTTTCCCCCAGTGAAGAGAGCTTTGAAAACGGACAGTGGCAAGTACTGAAAGTGTGATGGAGTGCTTTTGACTTGTTGTGATTTGGTTTAATTAATAGCAAGAAAAAAATGGCTTGGGCCCTGTCATTCTAATGTCTCTGGCCAGAATACAGAAGTCACCCTGGTTAATGCTGAGCAATGACTGCCATATCAGATTAAAATGAAAACCCTTCGTAAGGTAAAATCAACAGAGTAACTACTGCTGGCAGCTCTGAAATATCTGACAAAGCAGCAGCCAAAGTCTACGTAAAAAGATAGCTGTATTGCTCCCCCTTGGGCTTATCCTAAATGGAGGTTTTTTGTTTGACTGTAAGTGACTGAAGATGTTGCTAAATTCATATTATCCTGTGTACTATTCCTGTACAACAATTCTTGAAGATTTACTTAATTTTAATTTTAAACTTGTTTAATTAACAACTGATTAATTGTGAATTAGTTCAGGTGGGCAGCTGCGTCAGCATGCATAGTCTGCAAAAGAGCAAGTAATAGGTTTATTCCATGCTGAAAAAAGAAGAGAGAAAACACAACGTTTTGGCTGAGAAGCCAGGCTTAATTATGAATTATGCTTATAAATCACCAGAATGGAAATTGATTGGAATTAAAATTGATAAATATATGGATGCTTTAAGCCTAAAGCATGTTTAATTTCAGTACAGGCGCTATTACAGACATGGGATTTGAGAAGATAAGTCCTTTCTCTCCAACTGAAAAATAATACTGGCTATAAACACATATATATTTTAAATTAGCCTGATTAAGTATATTCGTGGATCAAAATGGATATTCATGATTTCATTATTTTTTTATTTTGTAACTTGTAACTTTTTTTATGTGCAATTTAAATTATTAGGCCTCAACAAAGGATGTTATCCAGCAGTTTAGAAGAATTGCAAAGTGGATCATTACAAAAGGTTGGACATTTTTGTAATGGTACAAATAAGTGTGAAAATGTTACATCAAACTAACCACCGCAATAATTTGCATTTTCAGTTTTCATCTTGCAGAATAACCAGTAATGGGAAGGGATTGCAGTAAAAGAAGTAGATCATTATTTCCTGCTGTTAACCTGTCACGCCCTTAAAATAATCTGTCTGTACACGGCTTCTAACTGGGGATAATTCTTGGTGTTTCTTCCACTCAAATAGCTCCATCTACTAACTAACATGTTGTCTAAGGCTTTATGAAATCTATAGAAAGGAGAATGGAGGTATATGCATTAACATATTGAATCAACAGAAATGTAAAGTGCCTTTCAGCTTTGAAAAGAATCTTAACATCACGTAGTAGGTTTACAATTTGTAGTTGAATGGTGAATTATATTTTTTTCTGATCTAGGCCCTAGTTTTAAAAATCCATTCCAGCATTCAACAATTATTAACAGTTTAATTCAATTAATATTGTATTTATGGCTTATAAAGCAAATCTTTATTTTGTGGCAAGTGGCTAACATGTATGTAAAGTGTTAATTATAATTTGTTTACACATTAACTGTATCTTTAAACGCTTGTTTTCATCATTTTACTAACCATGTGTCTGTTCTCTTCATTACATGCACTGACTGTTCCTTCATTCCCACCCTTCCAACCCATAGCATGTAGTTGAGGAACCAGTAGAACCTGTTGTTTCAACAGAGGTACATTAATTGAATGATGTAATTTTCAGCTCAATGTTTAACCCTTCACCTGCTGAGTGCTCCCTCTTTCTTGCAATTAATTTAAAACCACTTGAAGGATAGACGAAAGCATCTGTGTTGTACATGTATATAAATATCTAACAACAGAGTCAGCCATATACTGTATATGTTATGTATAAGTATATTTTCATTTTAATTTTTCAGGTGTCTTTTTGTACACTTTGGCAATTATTCATTCTCCTTTTGTAAAGAACGTTGTATTTTCCTGAGAGAATGATACTGTAAGGTAATGCAAAATATTATATACTTTTAACTTCTATCTAACTTTTTTACAGAATCGACAACATTTAGAAAGTAACAAATACCAGACTTTACCAGGGAAGCTGTATCGTTCCAACCAAAATGGAGACAAAGAGAAATATATGTCATCAGATAGTCAGAAGTCAGAAGAGGATGCAGCAGGCAATGAATTCAACTTAAGTATGTCAAAATTAATTGAAATCTTTGAACAATACTTAGATGAATAATATCAAGAAAATGCAGAAATTCTTGTTTGGGTATTATTAGGTTTTAGCAGTATTTAAAGGCACATCTTAATGTTCAACTATTCATTTTTTGGCTGTTGCTTTAACCCTAAGCGACTTTCATCTTTACCCATTTGCACAGCTGGGGCTTTTACTGCAGCAATGTGTGTGAAGTATCCTGCTCAAAAGTGTACCAATATAGGTTTATCTGGGGCCAGAGCCTTAACCACTGTACAGCACAATGTTCAGAATCATATGTGTGTGCTTCAATCACAGATGTATTTTATAAGTACATAAAATTTAAGGAGCAGTGCTTCCATAAATAATAACGCTGATTTAACTGCATTAACATTTTCAAAAAGCAAATTAAGCTTTGATTTTACATTAAAATAACACATTGCTGTCCTATGTGGACTAAAGTATTTTCTTTTAAACTTTTCTTCCAATTTTATGTTAATGGCATTATCGTGTGTCAGCTTTTTCACCTTTTTGCTAGAAAAACTATTGTGTGCGTGATCACAATGTGAATATATACTATATATTTATATCCTTTAGAAAATGTCATCGTGTAAGTAATTCTGACACATAAAGTGCAGTACATCATCACATTTCAATTTTAAAAATTGTTCTAAATTACAGAATTTGACTTCTAAATACAGTACCAAAGATTATGACCTACATTCAAAACTGTGTAAATTTAAATGAAAACAGGCTGAAAAAAAAGCTGAAATCTTTTGACCTGTCTTATAAACTACTGTAATTTTATTCCGAGTCTTTCTCTTGCCAGGGATTTGCATGGGTCTGTGTTCTCAATATTTGCTTTCCATTACTCCTTAATTTGCTAGTGTTTCTTCTTTGCTTTTTGTGGTGCTTTCTGCTTAATGGAATGGCTGAAGATCGCAGCAGGAGTGCCAGTGCTCCAGCTTTAGGTATTGTACTTTGCAGCTATGGCTTTGTACAGAGGATCAATACTGTATATTAAAGACTTAAGACATCTACTGTAACTCTAAAACAGACCTGATTCATATCAACACACAGGAAAGCCAAAGGAGGGTGCAGGGATTATAATAGATTCATTTACATAAGCATAGCACTCACCCACCCAAGCTTTTAAAAGAAATTCAAATTAACACACTAATTGCTGTTTTTTTAATGTGTAACTTGTAACAAATGAAGGCATTCTTATGACTGTTTTTTGTTAACTAATTCTGAATCGTAAGGTAGCTGGAAACCTTTAATGAATGAGCTCTGCTTCATCCATAATTGTACCTATTTTGTGTGCCTAAGAACTATTGACATGACTGAACAGTAACTGAATATTTCCTCTGTATGCTTCATTCATTGCCTGCCCATGTCCAGGATCTCGTGGGAAACAAGATCTTTTTGGAAGTGGTGGGTTAATAGTCAAGTTGTGTGTGCCTTTTTGGATTGAAGTTTGTTTTAAAATGGTGTACTTTTTATTTTACTGAAAGGATAGCAAAATGTGTTTCACCAGTTGATTCCACCTTTCAGTGATGTGCTGATTAGGTCATTATTCTACATTGTCCCTATGTGTGTGTGTACGTGTTGAAGGGTGGAGTGGTCTGAATAAAGAAATGGAAAACGAACACATTTCTTTTTATTTCTAAGGAAAGACAGAGAAAACCGAGGACACTGCCTTGTCTGATCTTTCACCCCTGTCGTCTGGCGTCGACTCTGGAGAACAGTCTCCTGTTTCCCCAGATAGCAAGAAAAATCCAAAAGGCATCAAGAAATTCTGGGGAAAGTGAGTTTGGATGACCACATATACATCACAAAATGAATTAAGCAAGTACATAAATGTAAAGCAGGCGTGCATACTTGCGGGAGGTTTGTTATTTGTTTTGACAACTAAGTAGGGGATTACTGTTCTATGTTTTGACATTTTTTAATAAGCTCTACATTACTTTATGGCAAATATTTTGTTAGCCAAAGTTTAAAGATATAGCAAACATTTTGTTCTTTAAAAAAACACCTTTTCTTTTTTAAAAGGGGTTAAGTTGTAGAAATGTTTTTGTCTTCTTTGTCCATTATTCTAAATGGGGATATTGCCTGACCTCACAGGGTAGTTTTGCTAGATATAGATTCTTACTGGGGCCTCTTTGGTAGCAGCAGAATTGAACCTGGTTGTTTGGTCTGCAGGCAGCTCAGATGTTGCTAGCAGAGTACTGGGAGCCTCCACATTCCCTCTCATGGCATTGCTGGGGACTGCAGGGGCTTTCTTATTTCTTATTTTACACATTCCCAAGCAGAGATCTGTGGAGGGGGTGAGAGATAATGGGAGATGGTGGGGGCCAAATGGTTTTACTTTACATCTGAAATTGAAAGAAATATATACAGTAGTTGTAAACTGCATGTCTGTCAATTGCATGCTGTTTTCCCCTTGGTGAAGAATAACTTCACCCAGTAAGAAATTGTGTGTAAGAATGTTTATAGTTTATTGTGGAGTTAGGCTGTACGAAGCTTTGCCTTAACCCACTCGGCTGATGGCCGACCACTTAGCCATAGGATGAGGAAGTCAGGACCCCCAAATCAAAAGGCAGATCATAACCAAGGGGGAGCTGCAAAGATGGAAATTGGGTGGAGGAGGGAAGCAGAAAGATGAAGCAAGAGGGAGAGAGAGGCTTACAAGTGTATTTATAGGTTTTTTTAGAACGTTATGTCATGGAGAATTATGAGTTTGAGTAATAGAGATGAGGGAGACCTTGGTTGCCGTCATCCCTTCTGAATTGTCATTAAAATCTCCATTTATGGCCCAGGATCAGAAGAACCCAGTCTGGCACTCTGCAGGCAGATGACTTGGAGCCGTCTGAGTTCCGAAGAGGGGGGCTATGGGCGACAGCTGGGCCTCGGCTAGCCAGGACTAAAGAAACCAGCAGTGCATTCTGGTACGCTGTAGTGGGACTCCACTGAGCTAAAGTAAAGCTGCCAAAATCGATCCATTTACAAGAAAGTATTAAAACAGCTAAGCTGCCAATGGTTCCTACATTCTTCCAGACTTCCATTGCTTTACACTATGATGGCTGAGTAGATGTGTAATACAAATTGTATCCCTTTCATCAATGTTATTTGTTTGTCTGAGTTAAGATAAGATAAAGATAAGATTAATTTAATTTGCTGTAGAGTTTCTACTGATGTAGAGACAACAGCAGTGAAGATAACACTGTTGTACACACCCAACAGCAGTAGAAACTCAGTGAGCCAAAATTACAGTACAATTATCCTGGAAAGGTGGTCATAAATGAGAGCATTCTGACATATTGTAGACGTAAGTCTATACAGATAGCTTCTTTTTTATATGTGTTACTTTATTTTTAATTCATAAATGTATTCATTTCTGTAGTGCCTTTGTTTTCAAATTTCAAAATACCTCTCAGAATTGCTGTTTGTAGGCTCCTACCATTCAAATGTTTTTCCAGTTTATCAAGGCTGTAAGGGTGGCACAAAAGAAATTTGTTAAACAAAACCTATGATATGATTAACTGCAAGTAACACACTGGATAAACCTTAGAGTTTTTCATCATGGGGAGGGTGCTGATTTCCCTTAAATGCTTTACTATTTGTTTCATTTAAACTGGATAATGAAAATGACATTTATTGTCCATGCATGTCCAGTACATGAGGCTTCTGCTTTTGTCTGTTCAGTTTCTATAACCATAATGTGTTTGAATGGTGCTACAATTGACCTATTTACACATCACTCAAAGGTGAAGTTTAAAAGGTTATACATCTTGTCATTGACTCTGTCCTGTAGTGACCTGAATACTCCCTTCTCGAAGTGGACAACAGAGCAGGTGTGCAGCTGGCTGGAGGACTTTGGTCTGGGCCAGTATGTGAGCCTGGCCAGGCAATGGGTCAACAATGGGCAAACCCTCTTAGCTGCAACACCCCAGGAGCTTGAAAAGGTACAAGGAATCTTTTGCTCATAAATATTTGCCTGCAACTCCTGATACACATAATACTCCCAATCAGGCAATTATTTTAATTTTCCCATTTATGAATGTAGCAGAAATACATACTCTTGTTTAGCAAATTCTAGGGAATCCTCTCTAGATGCATTTTAAAACCATTTCTTTATATGAAAGAGTTAAGTAATTCTAGTAATAGAATACATTAATACCATTAATATTTACACTACTGCTGTTTACACAATGTCTTCAGCACATAATAGAGCAATACACGGTATCTAAAAATCACAACAGAGTGAATTGTATGTAACATGAAGCCTCCAGGTAATATTCAGTGTGGAACAAATTCCAGGAAATGGGAATAAAGCACCCCCTGCACAGAAAGAAGTGCCTACTGGCTCTCAGATCCTTCAGCACAAAACAGACCGAGAAATCATCTGAACTGGACCACATCTGGGTAACACGTAAGTTATAGATTAAACTGACTTCATATGGGAATAATCAGTCGTGTTTCTTCCTGTCTGCTAATTGCATGAGCTAAACATTTTTGAATTATTATTATTTTTTAAAATGAACATATCCTAATTCCTGTTTGCAGGTTGGCTAGATGACATAGGCTTGCCACAGTACAAAGATCAGTTCAATGAAGCAAGGGTGGATGGCAGGATGCTACAGTACCTGACAGTGGTAGGTGCTCATGTTTCACTGGTTAGAAAATCAACATACTGTACAGTACCTGCTGGCAATGCTGGGTGCAGAGCGCATGGCAGCAATGTTGGTTTCTGTAGAAAATAATGTGGAACATTAACATACAATTTTATTTTAATTTCACAGAATGACCTCCTGTTTCTTAAAGTCACAAGCCAGCTCCATCATCACAGCATCAAATGTGCCATTCACATCCTGCATGTCAACAATTTCAATGCTAACTGCCTGAGACGCAGGCCTGCAGATGAGGTAAGCAGAACAGACTTGCATAGTACTTGTTCTGTGCAGCCTGTTTTTGGCTGACTTCTAATTTCCTCTACAGTATCTACTGTATAAAGGGGAATAGCAACACTGTTTTTTTTTTATTTGTGGTTAGAAAGGATTAGCATTGATGAGTGTATTTCAAACCGCAATAAAAGTAAAATATGCACAGTAACTTGTAAAACCTCCAATTTACTGTACATTTCAAAATAGATTAAGTTTACAGGTGTCTGCAATGCCATATTCTGTGATTCAGAACAAGGCAGGGTGAGAAAGAATTAGCATTTCAAACCAGTAAAATGTAAAATGTACACAGTAACCTGTAAAACCTCTGAAATGATATTGCTGTCATTGTCTTGATTCAGAATGAGGCAGCAAAACATTCAGGCCCTATTAAATTACAAACAGGCAGGCTGTGAATAAACATCTCTTTTAATCCAGCAGAAATATTGCTCTCGACTTTTTTGCCGACCAGCGGTTTTGCCGACAAATACTACTTGTTAACTCTGCATGCAGATCACATAATAACATTTCTGCAGTGGAATATCTGCTGCACAACCTGAATTTATTTGCTCGTGCATTACATTACATTAGTCATTATGGTTACTAGTGAGCAGGAATCTTGCCTATGGCAAGTTTGTGACTCTTTCAGTACTTTCACAATGATCACAATGTTACATTTAATTTGGGATTAGTAAACATTTTCTAGACCGTCAATTAATTAATTTTGTTATGGAGATTTAATAACCGGTCTGAGAAATTGGGACTGCAGTTCTCTTTTACATGGGATAATATGATTTAGAACAAGCTGACCTTAATAATGAAAATTACAGCATATTAAAAAGAAATGTAAACAGTTTGAAAGTGACAGTGAGACAGCCTTTACACTGCAGCATTGCCAAGGGAATTGGTGTCAGTCTCAATGCTAAGAGCTGAAGATCAGTTTGAAATTGAGTTATTTTACTATCTCCTTAGAATAAAGTGTGTGTGTGTATGGCACAGAACAAGAGCTCTCCCTTGGAAGTGATGCAGTGGTCAAACCATCGGGTGATGGAGTGGCTGCGCTCAGTGGACCTGGCAGAGTATGCGCCCAATCTGAGAGGTAGTGGAGTTCACGGAGGCCTGATTGTGAGTATATCAATACCTTGTTCAAAAACATTACAGATGCATTACATGGCAAGAATGCCATTCTATTGAATACCATTCATTTGACAAGTTTCTCAAATTTATTATTAGTTTAAGTTCAGATTCTTTGTTAAAAGTATCATTTTTAATCACCAAATTCAATTACATATTATATCTAATATGAGGAGGGTAGCATGGTGTCTTTATTTCTTCAGGAAAAAGGTAATATTCTTTTTTCTGGAATGCAGACTGAGAGCCTTCGGCCAGAGAAGGTGTTTTGAACTAATGTCAATGTGAAAAAGAATTTCATACAGTTATCCTTACCTCCACTCTACCTCCTTTTTTGTAGATTCTAGAGCCTCGATTTAATTCCGACACCTTAGCAATGCTGCTGAACATCCCACCTCAAAAAACTCTTCTGAGGAGACACCTGGCAACAAACTTCAACATGCTGATAGGGTCAGAGGCACAGCAAGAGAAGCGAGAATTTATGGAGTCCTCCAGCTACACGCCCCTTACCACCACTGCAAAAGTCAGGGTAGGAACTTTCATTCATTGGAAAATCACATTTAGATTTGTTTAATCTCATTTGTAATAGATATTTCAAATTGAAAAGTGCTTATGAGTCACCATATATCAGTTTAAGTAATTACAATAACAGGAAAGACCAGAAAAAAAGAGGACACTTGGACATCTTTTGTTTGATCAATCGGACTGTATTTTGCCTTTTCATTTTAGCCAAAGAAACTTGGATTTTCAAATTTTGGGCACTTAAGAAAAAAGAAGCTTGATGACTCCTCGGATTATATTTGCCCAGTGGACACAGCCCAGCAGTTGCCTGCCTCAAATGGAGGTCACAGGGGCTTTGGAAGAACCAGGGGACTGAGCCCAATTTTTGACAGGGACATGGAGAGACCGGAGCAGGTGGGACAAAAAAGCTGATGTCATCCACCCAGTCAAGATAGGAATCATTGCTTGCCAACCATAACCCCGTGCCATCACTTAACACCTAGACTCCTGAACCATGGGCATGTATGCTATTCAGGACAAACTAAAACGGATGTTCACTGGAAGAATTTTTGTCATTTCCTAAATCAGTCTGAAAATGTGTTCAGCATTTTAGTATGAAATTGTTTCTTATTACTTTAATACAGTGCATTGATGTTTATAATTCAAATGATGTGCTCATTGCTTTGTGCATATTAAGATGATAAATATTTTATTTCGCACATAAGTCCAAAAGTATTAGAATTGTATTATGAGACTTCAAAAATTTAAATGTTTTAAATTCCAAACCAGCTGTTTCACAAACAGTTCTTTTATAATAAACACTGTGCAATATTTGCACTTTGGGGAACGTATTTATTATTTATGTTGGTTAATTGTATTATATGAGCACATAAACGCTAAACCATCCTGTGGCTATGTACCTTTGAAGAGAAAATACATTGTCACTATTTTATGCTCTGTTTATTTGTTACAATATATCCTATATATAACCTAAAATATTTTTGTAGCAAACTAAGGTTTGCTATGGTAATTAAGCATACGTCTCCTATGTATATTTTACTTAAAAAATGATTGGAATAAAATAATAAAAGAATCTCTTTGAGCGTTAGTTTTGGAAAGTTGTTTTTTCAAAACATGTACATGGATCCTACAACAGTACACTGTAGTTTTGTACTCTGTGCATAATTCACAATTAAAATCCCCAAAATTATATTACCTAGCAGAAATGTATTCTACTTCTATGCATCTTTCTTTGAGCTCCTTCTGCTAAATGTTGTATAAATACAACTGTAAGGTTTTTAACAAGAATGTGGGATTATAAAAGTAATGAATAGATTGCATTATATTGTCCCAAAGGATGCCAGAATGCTTTACATACAGGAGTGAACAAACATCATCCACTACATGGGTGATCTGGGATAGCAGTTGTGCACCAACAGTCCAGCTGTGCACGTGGGAAAGTGAGAAAGTTCATAAGCAGTCAGAGGAAGGGAGAAATGTAGAGAGACCAGATTGTGCAAACCCAGAGAGGAATTTATCTAGGACACCAGGGTCACATTCCTATTCTAAAGTGCACGATTAACAAAAAATAATCAATTCCTAACCTGCTTTTGTCAAACTTGAGTTGCCCATTTTATGCAAGATGACTAAGTGCATGCTGGGAAAGGAAAACGCCGCCATCATCTTAAAGGGGCTCATTGAAAGGTATGAGCTATAACACTTTTTGTTACAATTTGCACCAGTTCCATGTTGTTGACATTTCATTCTGCAGTGTCTTGTTCAGTGCTGAAATAAGTTCATCTGGTGTCTGATCACAGCTCTCTTCAATTTCAATCATATAATCAAAACATTTATGATTGCCCCCTGATCTAAAAGTGAATCACTGTAGGATCCTGCCAATTAGCATGAAGCTAGTTTTGGCTAGCTCATTAAAAAAAAATTCACTTTCTTATAAATCCTGATCAGAAACAAATAACAGGATTAAGTAAAATAAACACATTTAATTATTATGATAATTGTGTGTCTTAAACAGTACTGTTTTGATTTATATCTCAAAAAATGATCTGGGGCCAATTCCTTAACTCAGACTGAGTATCCTTCTTCAGCTCAAACAGAACAGGATAAGAGCATGCTCTCTGGGTTTTCTTTAGGACAAGCAAGAAATGTGCTAACAATAAAATTAATAATCCAAAACGTTGCTAAACTAGTTTTTAAAGCATGGGGAACAAAATGTAGATAATCCATTACTGAAAAGGCCTACAATATACCTGTCTTCTATTTTCTGTCTTTTTAAAACAAAACTAAAGACAACCTATCTAGAATCCTTTTATGTTATGCTCACCTCAAACGTTCTTTATTGTGTAATAGATCAGTGTTCTGCCAAGTGCATGAAATAAGTTATAAAAACAGACCTTGTTATGGTTTGATGCAGTTGCTGCCTGATTTTACAGATGGAGGTTACAGAAGGAACAGTACAGCAGATAGGGGCTTTCTCAGCAGGCATAAATAACCTTACAGTAAGTACCCCCTGACAAATATATGCACAGAAAGATATATATACTGAGCATCTAAAGAAACTCACCCTATATAAACATGTACAGTATGCAGCTTGAATAATTATCTCCCATTGGGGACCCCTAGCTCAGGAGGTCTTGCCAGTTGTGGTGTCCAGTATGTTTTAGCAATGACTTAAGTATTTGTGTAGACCACCTAGATGAATGTCAGTGAGTATGGCACACGTGTGCAGAATTGTATGCTAATTAATGTGAATAACAGGCCAGTTGATGGGGAGGTCCAACTATAAAGGACTAGTCAGAAGTGTCTAGTCACTATATAATCTAATTCTAGCAACTGATTGCAGCCGAAGGTATTACATTGATCAAGGGCTGTGACCACACTTCTGCTCTTCTTATGGGCCTGTTGATGATGAGAGTTCATCAGTATCATGAATGTCAGTGTACCCATTACAAAATAGATATTAACTTTGTGAATTTGTTGTAGTTATACAGTATGTGACAGTATGTTTCTTTTGAAGCTTAGTATGCAATATATTCACTGTATATATATTAAAATAATTTTAAGTTTTGTCATTAATGTATTAATAATTAACCAAGTAATCAAGTGATGGCTATCATTAGTAAAATGCATATTCCTAATTCCATAATCCTGCTAACGTAAAACATTATAAAATGGAGAGCTTTGGACTTCAATATTAAGTACAGTGCTATATGACTACAATTATAAAACCAACAAGATCACAATTAGAGAGTAAAATACATTCCTAACCACGTCTGTATTCAGTTATTGACAGCAGAAGTCTGCAAAACAGAGTTAGTGCAGTGCTCACCTGTCTCTATAATGTAGGTTAAGTAAGTGGGCTAACCACTTTTTCATCATTTTGTTCCAAATGAAGCACTTAAGGTCCTTAAATTCCATGATTAATGTATAATTTACAAAACTTTTGGAACAACTGTATTTTGTGAATAGGAGTTTCTAAGGTTCTCAGGAGACATAAATGACAATTCAACCATGCCATGCTTCAAGCTAACACCAACACCTGACACTTCTTGCTTTCAGTATTTGCTAAGCCACGACGACCTGCTGCAGGACTGCAGATGGGGACAAACAGCAACACTCTGAGAAGAAAGTGCCAGACTAACATGCCGCTTGACCAGGGAAAACATCAATACCTCAACTATACTGAGAAACTAAGACCAGCAGCTTTTGTAAATCACCTGCTTTAACATCTTCTGACATCATGTATTTATTTGTATCATTTCAGTTCACATTGGATAACGGTTACTACAAAAGTTTTGAAGTTAAGTTTTGTTCTAAGCTTGGGAACTTGGCAAATGTTAAGTTCTGCATCTCCAGTATTTCCTTCTTATTTATTTGTGACACAAGCTTTATATTATGTTATAAAACAAAAATAAATATAATTGTATACAATAGGCATTTCAGATTTATTTATTTTTTCCATTATTTGATATTGAATACAATATAGAATTACTGTCAGACACACCCTGTGATTAACTAACATGGTTAAATGTCTGTTTATCCTGGGAAACCAGAAACAGGTTTTACTCCCATTTGGGGATTTACATTGAAAATTGGCTTGTCATGTATTTGCAAAGGGAACTGCAATCTTCAAAGACTAAATGCTCAGCTTTTTTAGCAGAGTGAATGCCCAAGCCCTGGGCGGACACTCACGCAATTAGAAAAGCACACCATTTGAAAGTCAAAGCAAGGTGAAGATGTGTATTAGACATACCCCCCCGAGTTTCCAGTTTGTGCCTTTGCTTCAAGCCTGAACGCGTTTTTCGCCAGGTATTCAGAAAGGACTTTGATGACAGCTGTGTGCTCTTCACTCAGGATAACGCACAGAGTATAGGAGCATTGGTAAGTATCCTCTCTCGATGATTTTAAGGAGAAAAAAAACATTTGAAATAGTTTTCTTTCTCTTCACAGAATAGAGTATAATGTATATTTCATAAAGGAGGATCTCAGCGTAATGCCAAATGGAATCAAATGTATACTGGGAAGCAAAGGATGAACCTATTGTTACATATTATTATTTAAAACGCAGAATTCTATTAATGGGTTTACAATACTGGGGATACTGGGTTACTGCAATTTCATGGCAGGTTCTGTAGAACATTAGCGAATGAAAGGTTAGTAATTTAAGAAGGTTTGTATCAATCTTCTTAGGTGGGACTTTTCTTCCTGTATTTTATTGTGACATTCAATATGATCATGGTAGATTGTAGATAAATTCTGGAATATGATTAGTAGAAATATATGAAGTATGGCAAATATTTTAAGTATAAAAGCATTGAATAATTTCTTCATCCTTATCCATATGTTACCCCATATAATTTAAAGGTTATATCAAGAAAAGCAGCAGTATTCCAAAACATAGAAGATTCACAGCTACTAATCTACCAAATGTCCCAGGAATGGATCCATGCATATAAAGTATTATATTGTTTTTACATCCAAAGTTTTCACAGCAATATCATTGTGTTGTATGATCATATTATTGTTGATGTAGGCATATTGTGCAAATGATAAAAATTAATACATTAAATATTTATCTAAACATTTGATTTCAGTGTATAAAGGAGACAACAATCTAAGCATTCTTCAGTGATGGGTCAAACACAGGCAACACCTGAAGTCAAAGCCCTCATGAATGAGTTCATCACGAATGAATTCAAGGGGATCATGAAGAAAACAAGCCAAGCCGACTTCACACAAAACTTTGGAGAGAGTGTCAAGTATGCCTCAAACAGAACCAAAGAATACCTTCTATTTCAGGATCCTGAAAACACATTTCGCCCCAGTGCTGCTACCCTCAATGAAGTCTTTCTCATGACATACATCAACCAAAGTGTCTACCTTCAGCTGACAGAAACCTTCAATTGTACTACAATGACCAAAGAGCAGGAGATTCTACTGGGTGCCGACTGGGTTTGGGCTCTCATTGATGCACCAAGCAAGAACCCCAAAGTCCAGATCGCAGTCCAGGTCTTTCACCTGTCAGAAGAAGAGGGCAAGCCTGCTAAAGGAGACCAGGTTGAAATGTTAACTGAGAGTATGGAAATCGCCAAGATGGAGTCGGCTGATAAATCAAAGCCAGAGAAGATGATTGAATTCTGCTCCTCAATCGGCAAGGACTGTTATGCCCTCTTCCTTTTCTTTGGTCGTCAAAATGATCCGGGCAACATTTATGGTGTGCTAAGCAATAACTTCCAGGCTGCCTTTGGCAAAGGTGCTAAAATCGACCAAGCGTTCGTTGAGAATTTTTTCAAAGGATCAAAAACCTTTGTAACCCCAGCAAAGATGTTGCAGACCATTGCTCAAAAAGAAAAGAAGCACGACGAACCCCTAACGATGGTCATCAAGTTTACCTAAGTGCCTGGATTGGAAACCCTTTTATTACAAGCAACAACCCGCTAATCGAAGATTTACAACTTATTTTACACGTCTCTCCCTGTACTGTTTGAACTTGATCTGTTTCTGGTTTCTGATTTACAACCAACTGCAATCTGAATTTTTAGTCCAAAGATCGCGTGCAAACCCTTATGTAATTTATAGTATATAATTTCCAGGACAAAGGACTTCAGTCACATGGGCAGTCCAGCTACAAGGCTTTTAAGCCATAAGCCTGTCCACATTTTTTAAGACACACCAATTATTTTTCCAATATTCGTGGAGAACATTGAAACTACCCCAAAACAACATTTTCCTTTATAGAACTCATGACGATTCACTGCACTATTAATACCTTTGAATCCTCCTGAGATTCCTTCTGAGGTGTAAGAGGAAACATTTTCACCTCACTTCACTTAAAATAAGTCACCCGCTAAGTCACACTGCTAATTGCCAACTGTCATCAAAAGAGAGAAAAGAAGAGATCTGAAGAAGACACTTGTTGTGACGTATTAAAGATTTATAATTTTATGGTAATAAGATAAATAAAATCATGTTTACCTACATTTTCTACAGGTCATGTGTGGAGTTAATAAGTAACAGGGAAACAGTGCGTGATGACCGTGTGAAATTTCTTAAGGTAATGAATTTAAAGTAACACCTTATTGCACACCTGGGAGTGGGACTTTCATATACACAGCTGTTAATTACGCGCCTCCTGTAATTAAAAAACCATTGACCATGAACATTATTAAACAGGCATCATGTTTTTTAGGATTTCCAAATTATATTGTCCGCTACATTTCTGTACCTGTAACACAAAATATCATACATTATAAAATGCAACATAAGATTGGAGGGTCTAACGCAGATGGGTTTTAAGTAAAATGGTTCTAAATCTGCTCTTACTATCAAATTGCTATTTATAATTATATTACATGCATTGCTTAAACACCTATAATCAATGCTCAATCCTTGTAAAGTAGCACTTCTAATATCCTGTCTAATATTCTACATTTCAGTTTAATAAAGTAAAAAATGCATGCTTATTAGATCTTTTTTTCTCTTTTAATTACTGATGTTGTTGTTTTCATGCTCTATCTAACTGGGAACTAGGAAATTAAATATTAAAGTAGTTCAAATATACAAATATTTTTTCCCAACAGCTGTTTAATTCCTGTGTCTGCATATTTTCATGTTACATTAACAGTATTAAATATTTTTGATGTAATAAAATGAGATTGGATTAACTGTTTTCAGTTATTCTTTAATTAAGCTTTATTGGTATTGGTTTCTTAAAAAGGTATTACAAACACAGATTCCTATATTTTAACATATATTAGTCCATAAAGAGAAAGTCATAACTGTCTTCAAGAGTGAGGAAAGTCATTTCACATTTCTTATAATTTGTCTTATTATAAGAAATAATAAGTGAAACAGAATATGTGTCATACACTTTCCTCAATGAGATCAAGGCTGCTTCTCAGTAAGTAAACATGTCCTCCATCTTGTATCCCAGTTTTGTCAGATTGGGTTGGCATGCACACTGAATCATGGGTAGTGGACCACACATTAAAACTAGGACATCATTTGCTGGAGGAGGCAGATGATTTTTAATCATTTCGGCATTAATGAATCCAGTGCCATACTTCCAACCTGCGAAACAAAACACAAGCTTAACTCTTCAGGTCTACAATTTAGAAGCAGGAATTTGTCTTATATTTGAATGCTGTTTTTACTACTCTGGGACATTGGCATTAGCTCCACCCTTATAAACCTGGGGCGTTACTGACCATTTAAAGCTACAGTGAAAGCATGAGGCTAGGACCAGCCTTGCTATATTTTCAATAAACAGATTGAAAAACCTCATTATCATTGTCCTTGAAGATAAATGTATATGCAGAGAGAGGCTTGAGTTTAAACTATAAAGATTGGCTCTAAGCTAGCATACACAATAAGAAGCTGTATTTCAGATATAACTATTCAATTATTTAGTTTTGATTTCAGTCATTTATTCAACATAATTCTGCTCCCACATCCAAACCTAATTCTGTATGCTATCACACAAATTAACAGCACTCAGGTATGCAACTTATTAGTTTACTGATTGGTTTCATTGCAATTAACATATATAAATGGGTTCACAGCAATCAACTCTGTGTAATCCATTTTTGACTTTTTACTTCTCTTCTCACTGTCTGTACCGACAGTATTGTATGTATTGTTGTATTATTAGATAATTTCATTACACTGTGCTGTGTTGACTGTGCTAAGCTATTGTTGCACTGCAATTTCCCTCACGGGATCAATAAAGTATCTATATCAACATATTTGGTGTGCAAAAAAGGGTTTTCACGTCTTTCATTTTTCACAAAAATCAGACAGCATCATCAGTGTTTTCATGCCTTACATTTATCACAGAAATCAGACAGCTTGATCAGCACGACTATCGTGCATTCATGACAAAGCCAAGCAGCAGCTGACGTGAGTGTTTGGTGTGCTGAATCTCTTACCCTGCGGGGCTTTGTCCAGGGTGTACCACAGCTTGATCTGATCAGCGTGATTCCGAGCCACGTCTTCCAGCTCTGCTCTCAGGAGGATGTCCTTTTCACTCTATGCACATAAAAAGCCTTTGTTCTTAGAATCTCAATGGAATTTAGCAATATTTTCCTTAACTTATTTTATGAAAATGATATTGAGTAATGATAATTATTATTCTATTTTATTATTATGACATTAGCAATAATCAGGAGTTCTATCTTAAGCTAATGATCTTGCAGATCTTACTACATCTGTATCATACTTTTACCAAGTTTATTTATTTAATATATTTACCATGGTTTCCGATCAGCATGTCTGTGTATACTTTACAACTGTTTTCTACTCATATTGCTGTAGGTTTGCATCATTAAATATTAATACAATCAGAAAACTGAGGGATTATTTCCATTTGCTTTTCAATCTGTAATGTGATTGAACTATAGGGTGTAGCCAGCCAAATTAATGCAGGATAACCATACAGTATATCTTTTAAAGTCCCCTTTTGAATTTCTAAAACTGTTGTGTACTGCTATACAGTCCACAGCTACAGTATACAGGTATCTCAATTTTATAGTACATGCAATAAGGAAAGTAAAACAAAAAACAAGCTCTTGTCCTGGCAAAATATATCCATAAGTTAAGTTAAACACTTGACCATCGTTATAACATTTACATTTTAAAAGCACTTATTTTCAATTATGTCCTAACCTGATTTGCAAAAAGTAGGTAGCACTTTGTTTTGTCTTCAGGGTCAGCTGTTATTTGGTGGATTAGCTGCAACATTGGAGTAATTCCTGCATGGGAAACAGTGCAAAGAAATACAAAATTATTCCTAAACCGTCAGGCTTCTAACTGATATTACCACCTCATTCTAAAAACTACTGAACAATTTTGGGATATCTGATAGCAATTCCTTCAGTGGACAGATTATATTAATTAAAAAGAAGAAAATGATTATTGAAATAATAGAATGCATAATAATAGGACAATTCTTGTCTAGGAATGTTTTAATGAGGTACAGTATGTCTTAAATTTAATAAAGGGACTTACCTGTTCCTCCAGCTATCATTCCAAGATTCTTAATGTGCTTCACTTTTGCCTCTGACTTTTTGTCTGGACGGATTTCAAACTTCCCTGAATGAACAAAAGAATAAATGATTTCCAAACTTCAAAACTGAACAAAATAAAATTCTTCCAAATGTATAGACATTGATGAGTAAAGGTGAGGCCTATAAATCTGCTGGATTGTGACTACCCAGAAACCGATTTGTTCATTTCTGTAACATTCCGTTTTTTATATAATTTTCTGTCTAGTTAAATAGGATATAAAAATCTAATAAACTTACTTTATAATCCAATAAGAAAACCTCAAATTTTCAAAGCAAAGAGAAACTGGATACAAAATTAATAAATACAATTCTTTGGCAGAGGTATCATTTCAAAGATCTTGCTACAACAGTTGGCAAATTTTGCCCTCTACTGGCCAAAACTTACCAAACCCATCTACAGTACTTGCTCTCACTGTAGTACACAGAACAAATAAAATTAATTTAAAAAGTTGTTTAAATGAATAAGCTCCATATGTGGTCTGTGTATATCGTTTATAGAATTAAAAAAAAAAGTAAATTGCACCATGCCCTTCAGAAATCTGTCTCTAATCTTGGTTTATCTTAATAATAAATTTTACTGAACCAATCAAAGTAAGGAGATGTTGACAGTGTGCTATAAAATTTATTTACAGGTTTTTGCAGACAATGCCTTATCAGGCCTGTTTTAAGTAAAACATGGGCTCATCCACTAATTGGCAAGCTGCAATTTCTCACCTGATGGCAGGATATTCCTGCTGGGCAGAAAGATGTAGACTGGCAAACAGAAAGTGACATCCATTGCAGGTTGGCTGCAGTTTCAATTCAATAGAGAAAAGTCCTTTCATTACCTTTTCCTTTATATACAAGTAGTCCATTAGGGCCTCTGAAATCCACTGTATCTCCAATGTTCATGTTGTCCAGATATTGGGACATTTTTCCTCCTTGAGGGTAATCTTTGTGCATGTTTTTGTAGTACACCTGGATGACAGTTAAAGAGGTGAAAGTTTGGAAAGATCATATGTGAGTTTGGATTTACAGTACCATTCCAGCACTTACAATGTGTACTGAGAGAGAAATTCAGTCATTTGGAGACAAATTTCCCCTGAATATCTTGCACACTTCCATAAAAGCCCATAATCAACAAAAATGTACAGTTACAATAATAAAAATACCTTTACAACCAGATCCACAAAACCCTTGTCTTCATCGCTTGAGACTGGTGTGTAGGCTCGGATTACCAGATTTCCATTCACTTTAGCAGACAGATACACATGTTGTCCTCAAAAACAAACAAATGGTTAATTCTTAGGTAATTAATGATTAATGCTGAGATACTACGGTGCATCCATATAAGAGAACAGATGCTATGGATATCTATTTTTTCATTATTTCTGGATTTACATGCAATATCATTATCAATTTATTATACTATAACATTCCAATGGAATCAACTTTCACAAAGCACCACACAACAATTCAAATAAGGTAAAACAAAAGAAACATGGCCACACTATTGTGAAAAAATTTAGGGTCAGGTCAAATACAACTTCACTAACACAATCCTTGTGTCGTGTCCTTATAGCAAACATTGTGTTTGGTATGATGAGTTATTCAAATTTGTCTGTTATTATACTATATGAAAGCACATTGAAGTCATTTCTTCACATCAGTAGTCATAAAATATTGCGCTTCTCCATATGTTTATTTAAATTACCTATAGGCAGGCCAAGGACATGATCTGGAGATGGGAGGCCAAATGTGAACCTCTTGGTATCGTGATTAATTTCCTGTCAAGTGACCAAGTGAGAGACATTTCAACATAAACGGTTTTATAAAAGACAACCTACAATGACAAAACTAAATGCAGCATGAAAGAATCTTTACAATGCATATAACTGAGCATAAGAGATTCTCTTTATTAATTAGTAGTCATTTGTTTCTGTCTAGTATCGACTGAGTCACATGTTGCAAACAGCAAAATTAAACATGTCCCAAAGGTCCCCAGAAGGAATCTTACCTTTTTATCTATTAAAGGCAATGCATATTTTGCAGAGGGATCCTGTAATGTAACGGGTGATTTCTTTCCTCTCTTCTTGTGGTATGAGCTCACTGATCGGAAGAACAAGTACAGCACGGTGAAAGCAACAACAGCCGCCCCGATCACCACCGGTAACAGCTGGAAACACAAGGATGTAGATGTAATTTGAAAAATATAGGCCATCAAAATGTAAGAAAGAAAATATTTTAAAAAGAACTCATAACAAAATTATAAATCCTATAAAAATAAAATCCTTGGTTATATTCAAATCCAGACACTTGTTCCACTAATTTTTAAAATGACCTCTAAATTCTGTCTTCCGTGAACGCATATCGTAAGCTTTCCGTTGAGTCCCGGTAACATGAAATGGTCTGCTGCAGACCCTGATGGTCAATTTGTCTTAGTTCAAAATTAGAATTAATTTATCCCAAGGTCTTAAAACACTTGCAGCACTGTTATAAATTTGAATGTTATTTTATATGAAGAGAAGAAATTGCACATGCATTCTCTAAAAATCACATTCCAATGTACTGTAAAAACTCACATCTCACATGCTCAAAAAAAGTTTGCCATCTTAGAATAATACCATCTCTACAACAAGCCCTATAGGACTAAAGGCATATGTTAGTTCTCAGTATATTTAAAATATATTTTTCATTAAGAGAAGAGCTGTAACATACACTTAGCAATTATCACAATGTAGAAATAATGACATCCTGTAAATTATTAAAGCCTACAGTATGTCTTTAAGAAATTCAAACCCCAGAAACACCCCCAAACAAAACCTTCTCGAATTGTGCTTGGCTTTTTGGCACTACTCTTCAACAGTGAAAGAGTTCAGACTCCTCTTTTGTGCAATTGTGAGTAGGTTTTTCCTGGCATGATGCATTTGCCAAGACCTTTATTGAAAAAAGCTGATTATTGTGCTCGTCATTAAATGCAAAAGTTTCTTTGGAGCATAAAAAGTTCAGACGCAATACTCCAAAGAAATAAATGCATACATTGTTAAAATATGTGTGGCAAATCCCTCCTCCCAACACAGACAGAAGAGCTGTAGTCATATAAGCCTACTGCACATTAAGAATTAGTATGATTGATTTACTTTGCATTTACTTCAGATGCATGAAAGGATATAACTGCAAATTTTGCATAATCCTGCAGAAATTGAGATATGTAGACTTTCCAGTTTTATTAAATGCAAACAATTTTGCAAACATTTGATGGAACACTCCCACATGTATGCCATGTACTGTATGTCACAAAATCATTGTGCGAAAGCAAAATAAGGGTGCTATTTAATTACTGGAAGCAGTATCTAAAAACAAATTCAATAGCCTTACCAAACTCTGTTCCATCTTGCCTGAGCTGTCCCAGACTGCAGTATACAGTACAGTGGTCAGAGTCCATTCTGCTGTGGGTGGAGAGTTTCCTATACAATCTGTGAACCTGATCTGTACAAGGTCACAGCGAGAGAAACGTGTCTGTAGGAAACCATACCATATGTATGTGTTCTGTCACCGAAAGCTCTGTCCCAGAGACTGAAGTCCTGCCTTTGTCATGGTGAGAGCATGATTCAGCATTTCAAATGTATCAGAGATCGATAACCATGCATGCCTCTAACAAGGCAACAGATCACACCATTGACAAAGTGTAAGAGTTTTGTGTGTGAAAAGAAGAATCCACTTTCAGAATACTGCTCAAGTATCTTTACCAATCCCCAAAAATAATTTAATAAGAAACTCACAATGGAGACACACATCAAAAATAATGAAGCCATTGGAAAATGGTTTATTTAGTCTAAATCTGAATCTCACAGAGTATGACACTGGCATTATAAATGTATCTGTTATTACAATGAATATTAAATTATAGTATCCGTGTTTTGTTCTCTAAAATCATGTTTTTTTATTTTATTAGGAAAGAAAATCACAGTCAAAAGAGCAACAAAGATTATTTTAAATCATATCAGATATTATCATGCAGATATTGATCAATTTCAAGTTCCGAGAACATATTTTTAGGTTATAATCAGTATTTCAGATTCTAACTTAACATTCACAGGAAAACAAAGAATGTCAACCCTGACTTAAATCATAGAGTCTGTATTCCAGCTTAAACCCACTTGCAGTTCCAATGGAGTTAGTATGGAAGTGCACAGTAAGAGCTGTGCTACTGGACCACACTGGATGTGGCATGATACCTCCACAGAATTTGGCTGTAGGAAGAAGAATAAACAGGTAAATAAACAGGTGCATTAAACTCAAGTCACAGGTCATGTGTTACTGGCATGAAAATGACTAAAAAATGATTCAATACAGCTTACGCCACAGGGAAGATAAGCAAACTTGTGTGAAGATAATATTACAGAAAGCTGATTAAACTAGATTAAATTTCCTCTCTATCAACAAAAGAAAGCATTTAAGTCTTTGAGACAGGGTCAAAGAAGTTATCAATGAAATAATCTCCATTGCTGTTTTACAACATTTTTCTCTTGAGAAGTAACTTTTGGCTGAAATAAAAGTATTAGGTTAAATAGTTTCTTTTTAATTACAACTCTCTAATTCCAATAAAAAAATTGTCAAGACACTTTTTCATCAGCATGTTAAAAAAGCAATTAATAAGAAATCAGGAGAAAATAATACACTGAACTAGGTTTATTATCTTAATTTTTCATCAAGGGGTTAGCTGAAATACGCAGATAGCTTTAGAAGAAACTCGACACCACCTTCAAAATTCTTATCTTGGTTCATTCCATCATACACAGTAATGAAATCAGTGCATCTTTCACCATCGGTACTCAGATTAAACTCTATGAATTCCACTTTGACAAAGTGATTTTGGGGGACAAGTATTCGCCATTGGCAGCTAAAATGAAAATTGAAGAATATTTTTTAATGAAGGATTTGCAAAAACAGTTTAAATGTAATAAATATATACTTTAGCTATACATTTTAAACACATTTAACCAAAAAATACAACTGGAATAGGAAAAATGCTATTACTGTCAACATTTAAAAAATATTTAGCTTCATTTAAATCAAACATAAAATTTTCAAATCTGCCAAATAAAAAAGATATTTAAATGAAACAGATGGCGTAAAAAAAAACATTGCACTGAGCACTGAGTGTGAGTGTGTCTTACCTCAGGTCATTGGGATAGTTGTTTGGGTAGCCTGGAGATTGTATTTCTCCTTCACTTTCTGTTAAAATGATATTCTGACACCCTGAAGAGAAATGAACATCTGAAAGCATTGAAAATGTCAAGATGCTGCAAGTGTAACTGAACTGCATAAAAAAACAGCATTTAGGTCAACTGGATTTTATGTGGTGCATGAGAAACACCCTTCTTAAAAGAGAACAATTTGAGCTCCTTGTTGATTGAAATTATTTTTTAAATCATATATTTGGAGCAAAGGCAGATTCCTATAGCTCATCAAATCAGCTGTTCTCCTGGAGCACATTATTAGTCAGTGAGACTCAGATTCCCCAAGCAACAGTGCAAGGTTGACTGGGAGTGAGTTTTGAGATTGAGGGGGATGACTCAGTCCATGCTAATTCCTCCAGTCAAAGTCTTCTATACAGGCACATTAGGACTCCCATCCTGAAACATGTGGGTCAACAACAGAGTACATTTTCAATAAACAAAGACCTCGCAGTTCAGTTATTGGAAGCAGTCTTTTTTATTTTCAGTCGTAAGATAGAGGGAAGAAGAACTGCAGTATCTGAACCTTTATAGGGAAGCCTTCTTCTTGTAAATAATAATCACAACATTAAAGCTTGCTCCAGTAATGACCAGGGAAGGCAGTGAACATTACATTTCTTATGACGTAAGCAACACAAGTGAAACATACTGTATGGCCATTTACTGTATTGTAGCACAGGAGTTTGCTGGTAGCCTAATGGACTTGAGGATCTGTTCCAGCTGTTTCTTATAAAGGCAATGATATCTGCTTTAACAATGTGTCAGTATAGTTTGTTCTAAGTCCAATAAGTGAATGTATGAATGATGCACATTCATCATGTACTTTTGACAGGCGTGTTGGTATTAAGTGCATAAGTAACATAATTAATGCATGTGGCAATCCTACAGAATGCATTGTCAAAAAAGTTTGCACTCTATAAAAAGAGATGAAACAGATAACAGAGATTGGGAGATGACTTTATAACAGTAATTCCAGGACCAAAAAAAGCATACCTTCTCCAGAAAATTCTGGTGTAGTATTGGTTTCAAGATATGTATTCTTCTTTGATGATTCAGTCTTAGGTTTAGTTTCTGTTCTTACTGTTGACTCCATATTGGCTTTATGAGAAACACAATAAAAAGTGTGAGGATGACAGTTTGATACAGTACATGCTGTCTGCATCACAAGATACCTCAAGTAAATGAAAGATTCTGTATTTTCTCTAGGCAAAACCAACAACGAGATAACAATCATTAAAATGTATACAATTTTATTGACCACATAAGACAAATATACCCAGCATTTGATCCACATAAGGAAACTGAAACTGAGTAAACACCATGTATTCTTTTCTAGAGATGAGAAAAGAAGAGTGTGTCTGGTACTTTAAACTCACCACTGAGCTGTTGAAGAATCCATTCCCTGAGGACCTGCACTGAAGTGTAGACTCCTGGTTTGCTCAGTTTTCCACAACCAAAGGCCCAGCTGGTGATTCCATAAATGAAATAACTGGGTTGCAGAGACTGCTCCGAATGGCAGACTAGTGGCCCTCCAGAATCACCCTATCAAAGCATGTTGATGAAGCTTGATATTCTTTCCATTTTCATTTTTCTGTCAAAAACTGTTAGTAATATCTCCTTATTTCCAGTTTTATCTTCATTTTTGGAAGAACAACAGATTTTAATGTTTCCAGTTTCATGTAAAACCAATATTTTAAAGGAAGAGTTAATATTTTTAAGCAGAACCCAAACTAATCAGAGTCACCCTACTGCAATGATAAATGAAATTCTTCTCATACGCCACAGATGTCAACAGGGATGGGCGTCAACTTTACAGTATGTGTCTTGTTAGTTAGGTGTAATCCCAGATGCCTACAGCAGATGGCTCTATATTTTAAAGCAGAACATAATACAAACGTTTAAAAACAAACCCAGTTGAATCAATATGGGTCTTGGATGGCTTGTGACTGTAGGCATTCATTCCAACTCTTAATAAGAAGAATCAGCTTCTTATTAACATTTAATAAACTCTCCCAGTTCATCTTGCACTACTGCTTTAAAGAGACCTAGAAAAACCTGCAGGTACACCGGACCTGAAGAATGAGGTTTGCCCAGTCCTGAACTAGGCCTACAATAAAAATGTATTTTTTCTAAATACCATCAATATTTTTCATGCATTTCTAAAACAACATTTTGAGGCATGCTTACAAGGCAGGTGTCATGTCCCTCCTCATGCGGAAAACCAGCACAGAACATCCTCTCTGTGATTCTGCCGGGGTATAGGAGCTCACAGTCACTGGCATCAAGAAGTGGGACCTCCAGCTGCTGCAGAGTACTGTTCCATTGCCCACCTTATGAGAAGATTCTTGTGTAAATGTCTCATAGGAAATTTAGGTTCATACAGATTACAGTTTTGGCTATTCTGGTTAAATGAAATATATGTTCTGGTAAATAGATTAAATAACAGAGCAAATATATCCCATTACATAACCAAGTAAGTTAAAGAAAAATATCTATGTATTATGTTTCTTTCTGAAGGTCTTTATAGTCATTGCTCGATAACCATACTATTGAATTATTAATACTTGGTTCTTCACTGCTGCTCTTAAAACTAAGAGGCCATATCCAATTAATTCACCAGTTGAACACCTGTGTTTGAACAAGAAAATAACACCTTGCTGAAAGTAGATAATCAAATCGCCCTCCTGCTCTATTCCCAAAAGAGTCAAAATAAGGGTCTTGTTAATAATTTCATTTTTGTTCTCCCATAATGTAATATTCTACACATTTTATCTTGAAAGAAGGTGCCTTTGACTGCATTATTGTACATTTCCATTAAAAGTAAACCTGAAGATAATAAATCTATGACTTTCTATAGTGGTGCAAATCAAATAGACACCAATAAAGCTGTTTTACTCTCTGTTGTTGATCTCTTAAAAACAAATGTTGTGCAGCATTAGCCCTAACTCTAAGAATGGGGTGGCACAGTGATACAGTGGTTAGCATCATTGCCTTGCAGTGCAGGGCCCTGGGTTCAGTTCCAGACCTGGGGTGCTATCTGCATGGATCTTATATCTTATATATATATATCGTATATCCTCATGTGGGTTTCCTGCCACACTCCACAACTATGTGTGAGTATGTGTTCAAGTTCAAGTTTATTGTCATTATACTCATATACAGGTATTTAGTTATTTAGCTAGCTCTCAGACGGTACGTAGTGTGTCAACCCTGTGATGGACTGGTGTCCCGTGCAGGATGTAGCATGCCTTGCAGCCTTGCTTGTCAGAATAGGTTCTGCCCCCCATATGACCCTGAACTGGAAGATGCAGTTAGACAATGGATGGACGTGCTCTGTACCTATTTTACCTCCCCACCCTGAGACAGTGCAAAACGCAGAGGGCTCTACTTCCAGGGTCTTGTTTGGAAGACAGACTGGACGGACATAGTTATTATACACAAGTGAAGAGGCCAGCTGCAGCAAGGCAACATCATAGTCCAACGAAGAGTCATTGTAGCTTGAGTGAAGAATGATCCTTTTCACAGGTCTTTTCTGGGAAAAAGATACGATTCAGCAATTAATTCAGCATAAGATATAAGTACAGTAAGACAGAAAAAAGTCAAATATATAATTCATATTGCCCCCTCACCTGCTCTTCAGGATTTGTAGTTGAAATGTCATGGTCTCCAGCAACAACAACAAGCAAGTGTGAGTATTTCTTCTCACTGAAAGAAAGACAAAGTACATTGTTAAAAGCAGGGCTACTTAATGTCCCTTATAACTAAAGAAATCAATGTATGCCTTCAGAGTTGTTTTATATAAAACTAAACAAATATGAAATGTTGCTAACCATGGCAGGCCACTTTCCCTGTACAGCAATGTTTGTCTTCTGAAACTGAGGCAATTACTTGTAGAGACCAAAAGGGTTGATGGAACTGTTTGGAAGGACCATTGTAGCCAAAAACTAGCTTGACCATATCCTTATTCAAAAGAACAGAGCCATATCTGAGAAATTACACTGAGACCCTTTTACCAGTGCTTCGCCTAAAATATTTAAATGTCCAAATAGCAGGTTAGATTGTCAATTATGTCTAGGAGTAAAAAAAAAACAAACGATGGACGCCTTCATGGAAGTTACTGCCACAGTGCACTCAGTTTTCCCACACAATAGCGCTACACATCAGGCTGCACACAACCTGCAACAGACAAGATGCACATGCTTACATGCCATACACACAGTGGGCAGCAGTGAGGACCCAGTCTGGCTGGATGATGGCTCCTCCACAGATGTGCTCATCGAGAAGACTAAGACGGACTTGCCAGGGCCAGGAGTGAGGGGCGGCCTCTTCCCCACCTATAACTCGGCTGAACAGAAACCTGGCAGGGGCGTGAGGAATTCCACATGCATCTGAAGAGGACACGAGTGTTACACCAGTGCTCGTCACACCTCGAGCGCTGAGACAGTTTACACTAAAAGAAATTAGAGCCATGTATAGAGAAAAATGTTTTTTTCTGCTGCCTCCCACCCCTCCCTTTGTATGTACCCACAAGCAACGTAAGAAAGCCAACATTCGATTTGAAAAATGTCCCTGTTGGGACTGAAACATTAACTCCGAGTTTAATAAAGAAATTTGCCAAGCATAGTATTGAGTGTACAAGTAACATTTTATAAACACTCATATTTAAGAAATTTCATAAAAGGGCTTGACTTATGTGAGTATTTTCCTTCTTTTTATAAATTTAGGTCATGTATCAAATTGTACCTGAAAAATGAAGGATGCATTTTATATATCTTTATATACTTTGAGGTGAATAACAATATCTCATTCAAGTAAAGTATTCCCAAATGCATTTTTACAAAATACTTGTTTTAACTGTGTACTGTATGAATTTTTTAAATTTACTTTTACAAATTTCATCTACATTTACAAGAAAAGCTACTAGGAATATAGGATCTGAATAGCTTTTAAATGTACAACAGTGCTTCCACAAGGCACACAACAAACCAGTTAAGAAAAGTTATGTAGATAACTTCTTCCAAACCTGTATATACAGTACAAGTGTATATCTAGAAATATATAAAGGATAAACGAACAAACCAAAGGGTATATCTGGGAATGAAATTTCATAGTCTTCAGTCAATTTCTCTTCTGATTCTGAGAGGCTTCCTTCATGCAAATCTGTTGATATTATTAAAAAGGTGTAAAATAAATCATTCACAAATACGTTGAAATATAATTATTTAAATGTTAATTTTTTTGAGCTATATATGTGCAGAATTAAGTGAGATATGCATGACATTTTCTTTATGATAGCATATTTTTCCCAATAGCATAATATGTAATGGTGATTATTTACACTTAATAATCAAAAAACAAAAACAGATATGGTGCAGAAGATGATGTATTCATTAAAAAAAAGGAAATGTCAATATCAATGTGCTATGAAAATATTCAGTTTTGGTGTAGTTATAAGCAGTTATAAGAACAATCAATACTAAGCTCTGTACTCAAACTTACCTTTCACATTAATGAAGGATAAGGTGGCACGGAACCCTCTATAGGAATTACTGTCATCAGTGGCAAACTGTACTACCATCACATTTTCATAGCTTAACACAGGGGGCGGCATGGTTGTTCCACACAATATTGCTTCAAAAAGAACATTAAAAGCATTGTAGTAAGATACTGTATCTGCATGTTATACAAAGTAGTAAGAATTGCATTCCACTGAAAAAATTCCATGCTGAATAATTTTTTACGTCTGTAAAGAATGTGTGTGGGGGGAGCAACAAAGTATTCATTCAGGGGAGCAAATTTCATTTTAGTACATTTATAATATCATATAAGTATCGGTATAATGATATTCAAGAAGTGTTTCGTTGTTTGGGTTATTTTTATCCATTACTACCAAATATTGGTGTTTTCTTAAAAACAAAAAAATCCCAAGTCCTTGGTCATTCATGCATGCACAGCTTTTTGTAGTCCATGTTAGTACCTATTTCTTCTCTTCCTCCCAAATCTCCAAACACTCTCAGCGAATCATACACACATTCTTTGGACAGCTCCACCTCAAAATCTTGAAACTCCAGCTGAAAGACAAGACATTAATTTTACATTAAGCCAGTAATTAACATTATTTTTTTCTCCTTGTTTTGCCAATACATTAGCAACACGGGTGCCTTTTTAATAAGTATTCAGCCCAAAAACTGTTTAATTTAATAAAATTGTAAAACAATCTATCCTTTAATCATTTACATTTTGTTCGTCAATAATTCTAGTCTGATTATTAAAGAAGAAGTAGACAAAAAAAACTACCTTTTCTAAAAGAAAAGAACACACACAGTCTAAGGAAAGATTAAAATTCACTTCACATACAAAACATTATCAGTTTTCCTGAGAGAAGATAATAACCATCAAGATGATGGGATGATGCTGGCTAACCTATTCTCAGCAATTTTAACTCAGAACTCAAACAAAGAACAAACTAAATTACTGTAATGTTACCTTAACAACATGGTTCTCAGGGGCATAGATTATCCAGTGGCAGTCTGCATTGTTGTTATAGAGGTCTGGGTAGTGCAGACTCTGAACAATACCTTCCGCTTGGAGCACTGCCACTGTTCCACAGCCCGAGGCTACAATTACACAAAGGAGAGTTTTTAAAGAACGATACGAGATAAGATGTAACTAGTGCATTTAAAAACATCAGACATACATTGTCGACAATGGGTCCATCATTTAAAAACAAATTCTGTATACAGTATTTCTGGTACCACACATGGATAATGACTATATCAGACACTGGTAGCTTAGCATTATTTTCTATTAAATTAAGTTAATTTTGATTGGTGATGCAGAGACAGGTTTTCTGACACATTTAAAACCAGGACAATTGTCATGTGGTGCAGTAGCAAAGAGGTCTGTGCTTGAACCTACTGGGATTATGAGAGATTCAGTATGTGATGACATAACACAACACAGTGTAATGCTAGCATTTCAGGGAGTCAGAAATGTTCTTTCTGTGCTGGCTTTTAAACATACACCTTTCCAAATAAGTCCCTTTTTCTAACACAACTTTAATGGCAGCACATGTGACTGCTCATTTTTGATGTAGGTATGAAAAGCATCAAGAAACACCTAATCTCTACATCTGAGGAAGGAGAAAACAATACTGTTCCCCTGATCGGCTCTCTGGAGGGCCTTTTATAATAAACATATTTCAAAACCCCACAGAACTGCACAGTGACTTCATGTCTCCCTTCAATTGTTAGGTCACATTTGTTATATTAATATCAATAGTCAAGAAAATGACTGATACTTAAAATACTACTCTTGGGCAAAGCAATACCCTCAGACACCTTGTAGCATAAAACTGACACTCAAGTGCAAGCTGAAGGCCCATTTTTTTGCTATTCAGCTGTGTCTTTGATTTGTTTTGGTTTCAGGTGCACTCCAGTTTTATGGGTTCCTAGGAAACACAACAGGGAGGCAGAGTAAAGGTGCATGGGCTCTACTGTGATGTGTAACCATAGTGTCTTCCTCTGCTGGGAGATCGCACTGCAGCACTCCAAGTGCTCATGTTTTCCAGAGAATACACTTGAGGAATTTACTGTAGTTCATGACAGATCCCAGGTGCTTAAGTGGAGTTCTCTTGATGTATTCTCCTTAGCTAAAACAACACCCCAGAAAATTATTTTAGAAGGTCCTAAGTTATTTGGATTGTGAGGGAATAAAATAAGGCTTACTAATGAGGTCCATCTATTGTTTAGAATATGGTAAATATGCAGCATTCACACAATGTGTGCTACAATTAACAGGCAACAGAATTCTACTAAATCATGCTGTTACAATAGTATAATCTTAATTTGACAAAAGCTGTTATCTCTTACATTTTCTGAGTCTGGACATCTTCAATTCACAGGTTTGGATGTTTCTTGTTGCAGACTCACCTAAAAGAGGATCCGGGTCAATTGCTTTGTATGTCACAGAAAAACCTGCTGCTGAGCCGGTGAAATCAGACGTGAACTTGAGTGTAGCACTGCTGGAGCTGATTAGGATGGGAGTAGGCAGTTCGCTACCACAGAATTTTCCTGAATAGAGATCACAATATTATCAATCAGCAGAAGGAGGAGGAGAGATATTCTTATGGTTGTCACTGCTTCATACTCACCTATAAGTTTGTCTGTCCCAGCAAATACTGCCAACTGGTCACTGCTGCAAAGAGTATCATTTTCCACATCAAACTTGGAAAACTCCAGCAGTATATACTTCCCAGCTGGAACTTGTACAGACCAGAAACAAAGTCTGCAGAAGAATATATGTTGATTTAAGGAATGTAATTAGAATACTTTAAATTGTACTGTACATTATGTAGATATACAGTATCTACATTTTTAAACAAGCATCTTCAGGCTAAGAGGAATACCTGACAGAAGAATCATTGGGTTCAGTATGCTTTATCTCAGAATATCAACCTTTTCATTATGGGATTTTCAAGCGGTGAAGTCATGGAGAGTGACTTTGCCATTCTTAATTTGAAAAGACATATGAACTTAGTGTTAACCACAAAGCAGCTGCAAAATAGTGATGTGCACTTTGCCTGAAAGCAAATGAGAGCATGCTGGAGTATTCTGAGGCTGTGAAATTCTGAGTAGATGTAGTTTCTAATAGAGACATTTTTAAATAAAAGGAGACTGTACACAGAGATAGAGCTGCGCACACTTACTGATTGTTCTCATAGAAGCGATTGGGCTTTTCTGGATTGTGTATCTGACCTTCTACACTTGTCAGGATACCATCTGTTGAGCTGCATAGCTCTTGAAGAGAAGAGAAATCAGTAAAAGAGCAAGGAAACACCTCTAATGTGGTGAAAAGAAAAACATTTAAAAGTTTAGATTTTCAATAATGCAGAAAATGAAGCTTTTGCAACAAATTATACTAATATTTAAAATTTTTGCATGTGCTCATCCATGGTCACTGGTTTACATGACTGCATTGTTACAAAACACACTTTTAGCTAAATTACATTAATTAACTTACTTGTTGTGGATTTCTTGTTTGGCTGTATCCCTGAAAAGAAGAAGAAAACAGAATGTGCTTAACTAAAAACTTTCTCTTAATTTAAAAATCATTTGTGTAGCTTTTAGAAAACAAAAATTATTGCAGTTTTAGCTAGTCTTCATTTTTAAAAATAATTGGATTTATCAGCTGAAAGCAGAGTAAATCTTTACTGTAAGACTTCTTAAAATTGTGATGTGTCTGATACTATGTTGTTTGTTTGAATGTCTATCAAAAACCATCTAACATTTCATTGGCAAGAACCTGTGTTTTCTGGTGCACTTGACAGCTGAGGCCTTCTCTCGTAAGAGATTATTTCAGTGCCTTAAGAAATAATAGTCTAATAACACATGATGAAAAATAACATTTTGATTACTTTCATTTAGCTGCTTCTTTAGCCAAGGCAGAAATTGGACTACATCTGTGAAGACTCCAGGAGATCCTCTTTTGGTCATGGGTTTCATTGTGTTATCATCCCAACTACGGCCACAGCCTCTGCCCCATGATGTCACCCCAATCAGGGCCCACTGACCATTATTCCTGGGGCACACGAGAGGACCCCCCGAATCTCCCTGGAGCAGAGAGAGACGAAGCAGGAAGAGATGGAGACAAAAGGCATTGGTAAATTAGAAACTATGTCAATTAATCACCATTTTCAATATACTGTGTCTGGTGTGAATCATACTGTAGACCTACACAAATCGGACTACGTGCTGGACATGCTGGACAGAGTGTTTGGATTGTGGCATTTAGCTGCCTTCCTTATAAATTGAATCTTATTTCCATAGCTAGTACACATAAGGTAAATGTAAAATACAACCCATGTAAATTGAAAAGTACTAATCTAATGTACACTTTCATGTCATACAACAAAAGCTTGAATACAATACTGAGGGCAGAGTATAGACCTTTAATATATCAACAATCATATAAAGTGAACAACGTTTTATTGATTGTGTGTGTGTGTAAACATATTTAACTATAAATGTGATATAAATGACACAAATCTGAAAATAAAATGACAATCCTTTACTATGATACCCACAATTTAAATAAAAAATAATTGAAGTATATTAATTTTGAGTGCACAGTCTAACATTCTGGAGATTCTGTCAGCAGTAGCACAGTAGAATCAAGGTTTCTTGCCTGGCATGCATCTTTGCCTCCTTTCTCTGGCCCAGCACATATGACCGTGAACTCCTTCTGCCTGGGCCTTACTGTTCTGATGACAAACCTACATTTGTCCTGCTCAACAAGGTCCAGCTCTACCTCATGGACTACAGTAGGTAGGGGGCCACCTGAATGAAAGAAGATGGTAAATATTTATCCCTCTGTTTTTACATGGTTCTTACTATGCAAGTAAAACACATATTCAAATCTGTTGACACTAATACAGATTACACTCTTTTGCATTTGAAGGTTATTTCAAATAAAAATGATCTGATTTGAAAATGATCAAATCATAAGGTCAGTTCAGATGAAAAATTTGATTTGAAGGTAAATTTGGTCATTTAGTATTTGTGTCCCCATTATAACATTTTACTATCAGGAAAGTTTTTCGTTATGTGTGTCAACTTCTGAGCTGTATGTAACAACAGCAATTGCAGATTTTGAAAAACTTAAGTACTGTCACATGACACCCAACACAAAAATAACCGTCACATAACCTTTAAGTTTATTGAGAACCAAGACATTTTTATAGAAAACTTTAGCCTGTTATTGTAAGGCACATCCTTCACAGTCAAACATGGATAATTTAAGATAAGTATGCACACTGGGAAGGTTTCGCTAATGCAAGACAAGGTAAAACCGTCTTAACTTTCAGAACCTTGATACCTGGAGTTAAATTGCAGTCACAGAGAGTGCAGCAGTTTCACTATTCACCCTTCTTCATTCAGTCCTTTGGAAAAAACAGCAGGTCGGTTTTTGAGAAGCCCTCTCTGAACACAGTCTTTAAACTGCCGATTGATTTATAAGATTATCAGTGGTGTTGCATTATTCTTATGTAAGATATTATATTCTTTGGCTTACTGTCTTGAACAACCATTGTTTTCTAAAACCATTAAGTAGTTATTACAAAAAGGACATCACATGGTTTTGTAGAATTCCTTACGTTCTCTCAGTCGTCCCCATCCACTCACAAGGCAGCTGGTTCCAGGTGTGAAAAGTTCACTGGGAAGGGGCAGACATATTGGCTGTACATGTGCACCTGAAAAAAGATAATGTCACCAAAACACTCCAGTCCTTTTAATAGAACTTAACATTCTGCAGTCTGCAATTACTCTTGGTTTAAATGTGTCTGTCACAATAACTCAAGAAATCTCACTGCCGATATTGTTCTTGCTTTGTTCAAATCATCTGAGTATCATGGTGATTTTGTGGTCAAAGGCATACTATCTCCAAAAAAAGGCTTCAGCTGTACTGCAATAACTTTCTAAAAGGGTATTAATGGAAAGCATGGTCAATCTACTGGTAGATTACTGGTGCGCCATTATGATGTAATTAAAAAGATCTCAATAGCAATGAATTCTAATTCGAAAGAAAATTACATCATGTTCTTGTCGATTTCCCCCTGACTCTTACTACACAACTTTTTGGGCACCCTGCATTTTAATGAAAAGAAAAAAGGTCTTACCAAATGTAATCTTGCCATCTACCTCCACAAGAGCTATATCATAGCTCATGGGATTGGAGTGCTTGTAATATTCATGGATTACAGCAGTCTTCACCATTAGACTCTGTTCTTCAGCATCCAGTGATGTCTGATCATGTTCTCCAGCAACAACTCTTATATTCTTTAAAAAATCTCTAAAGAAAAAATGATTTTATAGAATAACTTTTGAAATCACAAATCATATTTGTGATTTCATATTTGTGATATAAGGCAATATAATGTAAGAGATGATTACAACTTTAGGTCATATTATTATCATATCTAAATCCGTCTACTAACACCAGGAGAATATCAATAGAGGTTCCAAGCAAAGGTTTACTTACTTTCTTGCTGTGGGAAAACAGTGGGCTGCAGACACTAGCCATTGATCAGTGAGTATTGTTGCCCCACAAAAGTGAGACCCTTTATATTTCATGGAAACCTAAGAAAAAATTCAAACTTTGTAGCATTAGTATTGCATCAGCCCTACCAGTGTAACACTATCATTCTTAAGATTCTGTTATGATTACAGTTTGTTAAATTCGTAAGAGAAATGAAACACATTATTTCATAGTTTACACCTTTCTTGTTTACTATGTTTCGAAGGGCAAGCATTCATATTATATATGAATATTAATGAACTCAGAAAACATAACCATCTAAAAAGACTCCTAATTCTGTTTTATGTGTACTAAACATGTTCAATAAATGATTAAACATCCTGTACATTTGTCAAAGCTGGTAACGTAACACCGGTCTATAAACGTTGGTGATATTCATGGTGTTTGAAACATACCAGCCATGGGTGTGCACCATACTGGGACTGATTCCCACCAACAATCCTTGATGACTGGTCCAAGAGCTGGTGCACTTTAGAAAACCCACATTTAGAACCTGGAAAAACAACACAGCCAGCCACCACAGGTATTGGTTTCAGCTAGTTTTCCACCCAGCAAGTCATGAGCAAGACATGGATTCTACAACCACCCTTCTTCAGACAGAGTTAGCATTAGCAATAGGTCAAAAAGAGGGAATGAAAATGATCTATACAGGTACCGTGTAATGCGAAACTGGATTTGATGTCAAAGACAGATCTCAAAGTATTTGTAAGTATAAATTAGTTGATATGCTTATGAAAGCAAATATTTTTGCTGTGCTGCCTGTACAAACATTCTAAAACTTTTATATGTATATCTCACAGTTGATTTTCTCCATCAACAAACCCTGAGAATGCAAGCAATTTGATACTGGGTTTTTCTGTGTTTTTTAAACCTGAACTTACCTTCTTCAGAGGGCAGGAAGGCTGTGAAAGTCTTTGGACAGAACAATGAGAGAAGAACACAGTAGATCACTAAAGCACCATCCATCCTGCTTCTGTGCTGAACCCAATTAGACAAAAGGCTGTGCATTTATAGGGGAAGACAGGATACTTCTCCCAGCAGGAGAGCAGGCATCATTTAATTAGGAGGGGAAGTTATTTGTTAACCAGGACACGGGGCGTTAAACAGAGCACAGTGAGGTGCTATAACTTCAGTCAAGCAGAACGCCACCCAAGGCTTCTTATATGAGGCATTCCAATTCAGCTATTGTCATCAGCTGAGGGAAATGATATCTCTGATTTTCAGAGGATCCATAAAAACATCTGGAATTTCTACAAAATGAAGCATGTCAGAGGACGGTGCTGAGATGCACACTATAGTGATTCAAGAGTGGGCGTAAAGCTGGGTTTTCAATCATGGCATTAACACCTCTTTAATATACATATCTTTTCTCTGTATTGGAAACCTGCATCAAAAAGAAACCAGTCTTGAAGATGTACATTGTTTTTGAGAAAGTATAGGCTTTCTGCATTTTAATTACAATTTTTTTTTAGCATGACGACAATACTAAGAGAGGAGTTCCGCTGAAACAATGGCCTGGTCATACATGCTTTAAAACATTCCAAGAAATGAAACATAAAAGAAAGATATTTCAAAGAAACACAAGCTGCTCACTCACTCGTGACCTCTGCATTCTTGAATCTGAAAAACCACACAAAAAAACTATAACAACTGCAGCTAAAGGGGCATGACCAGATCACTCTGACATAAATGATTACAATCTAATAATTTTAGAAACCCATTTTCTCCTGCATGGGAAATGATGTTTGCTGTTGTTTATCAATATGGTCATCTCACTACATAACGTAAGTAGGTATCACATGTTTTACTGTCATTCTCTCTTAGTGATTCACTTTATACTGTAAAACAGATGTCAGCACTTAAACACGCTCAGCACAAAGGTCTTCCTTTGATGACTCTTCCTTTGACATTTGAGTTAAAATTTTAGGAGGCTTTGGACAGGAAACAAGAATGTACAGCAAGGCTGTTTACATCCCTCCATTTTCCTATTACCACTGTAACGAGCACAATCTTGGCAAGCGTAAATAGAATCATTAGAACTGAATGAACAGGGTTTTCTTCCTTCAGTCCTCAGTAAAACATGAAAACAATTAACTTCTCTCACTATGTACTTATTTTATATTGGTACAGTGAAGTTAGTTTCCATAACAGCATCTCATTGTTCTTGTTCTGTCTAACGTTGCAGAACACACTCCACCTGAAAGTGTACTTCCTTTGTTTTGCTTCTTAAAAGGAGCACTGCTAGAACAGCAATAAAGCAACTGACCCAGAATCAATTCATTTGACCATGTTCAAGGTGTTTGATTTCAGTGTACTGGATTTACCAGACAGTTAAACATGGGCAGTCCTTGTAACACCCACACAGAATTAAATTGTGCCCTGAATATTAAATATAACAAGACGGACACTTGGAGATTTTGTACGTACACATTGTGTATTAATTTCACATTTTAAACAGTGTGGTAATCAGGAACTTATTGTTACTTTAAATCCATCTTAAATCCTTAAAAGGAAGCCACGACACTTCTGGATAGCCTTGGTTTTTCATGAGATGCGGTATTGTGACATCATATACTAAATTATATGGAACACTGAAATCTTTCCGTTAACTCGTACAGGAAATATGGCACCACTGAGCCGCAGCACCAGGGATCCCTGTGCAGATACCTTCCACTCTGCAGCCAGCTCCAGGTTGTAATGCCTTTGTCGAAGCTACAGAGTTTAATTTATCAACCACTGCCGCTAGCAAACGTCATCTAATTCTTCAGTTGTGGCAGGACTGCTTTGTGTTCTTCCCACATCATGGTGCTATACAATTTCACGTTTGGTTGAAAGGCTAACCTTAATCCTTGTCGCCGTAGTACACAGAGGCTTCTCATATCAGAAGCATGCGTCAGGCTATATCTGCTGCCAGACGAGGCTTTTCAGTAAGTGCGAGAATTGAATCCATCCCAACAGAGCTTTTCTAAATATGCCACTGCAGTCTTTATGAAATCGCATGTGCCAGAGAAGCAGTCAGCAGTTATATCAACTTTAAAACCAAGCATAGGTGTACCTGCATGAGCTGCAGCTCAAATGAAAAGGTCTTACTTGAAGACTCCAATGTCACTAAGGTTACAGTCCAGAATTGTTCCAGATGGAGCTGCCATTAGCCAGCTGGGACAAGCAGACAAACCACATCACCAATGCCAAATAAGGAAAGAACAAAAATAAAATCAGACTTAAATTTTGTTTGGCGTGTCTATGTGGATTGCTTCAGAATAAGCTGATGGCCATCATATCCATTCATCCATGATCAGACATCAATGCACTCTTGGCAAGGGTCATAGTCACTCAGTCTATCCCAGAAACACTGTGGGTAAGGTAGCCCGCACCCTGGATGGGTTGCAAGGAGGTCTGAACCAGAAGTGCTTACTGATGGCCAATGTCATTGAGATGTCCACCTAACATATCAGGTCTTGAAATCTCATTATTAAGTGGGTTACAGCACAGGATAGCACATTAAAAATATAAGGTATTATATAATACTTCTTATTATAAAAATACTTCTATACTATACTAAAAATACTATTCTTCTTCCGCCTTCTTAAAAGTTAATCTTGTCAGCCCATTAGACAGCACAGAAAAAAGTCAGTGGACTGAAAAGGAGTCAGAAAATAGACAGTTGCATTCATAGATCACAGAAGCAACAGAACACTACTATGTCAACCATATTTTTCATTGCAGAGTCTTAACCTTAAACAAAGGTTGATGGAGTTAGTTACAGTATATCAATGGGTTTTAGCTAAAAATGCAGTTCCAATCCGAAAGAGAACTGAAAGAGAAGATGGCCATACAATAGAAAACCTATTTTGAAATATGTTTCTGATAAAGCAGAAACTTGACAATGAACTATGTGGTTTCTCAAACAAGTTTATCTAATGTAAAGAGTTTTTTTTCCCCCTTGAGTGTGTATTACCTGTGCTTGGTTGTTTTTGATAAAACAGTTGTGAAATTTGTTTTACCAATGGAGTAGAAACATTACAGTGAACAAATATGGTTTCTTAAACATATCTAACTAAGAAAGCACATTTTCTTCATGGGCCTTTGTTTTTTTATCTCAGGTATGAAATGAACCAAGGAGGAAAGAAATAAAATAAACAGAACATATATGAAGAAATCAAGGACTTCAGGATTCCTTCCTTCTCACAATGTCCATCACATTTGTGGCATTTCAAGCTTTCCTGTGATAATCCCAACCTTTTAACACTTTTTAAGGATCATCATTCATACATTTTGAAAGATAAAAGTAAAACATGGAGGACATTTGTCCCGTCTGCTCGAGCAAACTGGTTTTTAAAACTGTTTTGTGCCAAAACAAGTTTTTCTTTTCTTCTTGCAGGTTCAACCAAGTCACTACCTGTGCACCTTTCACAACCCTGGCTGCAAAATAAGATCTCTTTGTGTAATACTACCCAAATGGAGTCTTCTGTGTCATGTTGCCTGGCAACAACACTACACCAAGGCACAGGCAGCTATTTGAAGAAGACAGCACAACTTGAAATAGGTTACATCTGCCCACCTTCCAGGCACTTGTTGTACTGCATTACTATTCAGAGTTAATACTGGTCCTGAAAGGAAGAGCATAAAAACCTTCTACACAGTTCCCTCTTGAGGTTCATGGCAAATAAAACTCGTATGTATTTAAAGTTTATAGATATACCAGATACTGTATCACTATCAAGAGTATATATTTATTATTATTTGGATTAAAGAATAGTGAATGCTATATTTTCAATGAAATAACTTTAGTGTTTTAAGACAAAGGCTTCAGTTCAGAAGTAATTTAACATTTTTGAAAATTCACACTGTAAAAAAATCCATAAGAAATATAATTAGAGTAACATGAGCTTTAAAAATAAATTTTAAGCATACTGAGGTTTATCGTGTTTTCGGTTTTGTTCTTCCTTAAACACTGAAACAAGAACTTTTGTGTTCAGCTTGGACAAATCTACAATTAACCAGTCATGAACTTTGAAAGAGAATGAATGAAATGCCAGTGTTGACACAGTGTAATGTTATGTGGAGATAATTTAGCATTCTCTTCCACGGCAAAACAGACACACCAAGCTTTGTTTAAGATGCTTTGGGCGTATTTATAAATCATCTACCGCCGTGATAATTAACACCTGTTTTTTCCTAATGAGAACACAGCACAAAAACATTGGAAAGCGAAACTGCAGTGACTTGCAGGATACTAATTAAAGAGGCGCTAAAGAAATTTAAATGTTTTATTTCATGTTAAGAGTTGGTGGCATGGTGGTGCCAACTCTTTGGGTAAACCAAAACGTTTTTCTCTTTAAACCCTCTCTCATACAAATAAAAGAAAACACACAAACTTCCACAACATGACAATTTTCTCTTTTTTTGCAAACTAAACAGTTCTATACACATACAGTATAATACTTCTTGCAGCGCTGGGCCTTGGGTTCAATTCCAGACCTGGGGTGCTATTTGAGTGGAGTTTGTACAGTATGCTCTCCTTGTGTTCAGATGGGTTTTCTGTGGGTGCGCCAGTTTCCTCCCACACTCCCAAAAAATATTGGTAGGTTAAGTGGCTTCTCCAAAAATGGGCCCTGTTGTAAATGTGTGCCTGCATGTGTGTGTCTGCCCTGTGTGGTGTGCCCTGCCTTGCACCAGGTCATTGCTGGTATAGGCTCTGGCTCCCCCATGACCCTGAGTTGAAGAAGTGGTTAGATGTCAGGTGTTTGAATATCCAGTTTCAGATGAATAGGGTAGTAAATTTAATGTGAAGGAAAACAGTTTATGAATACAGCCAATTTTATTTTAAAAGAGGTCACTAAAATCATCCATCTAAATCTGGTATTTATGGCTTACTAACTTTCAAGCTGTGTTGGTGTTAAGCACAGGTACTGTATCTAATTTAAAAAAAAATATATACTGTATATATATATATTATGACCTGGTGGCTCTGTAGAAAGATTAGTGTTTTGCAAAATTACTTTTCATGATCAAAATTATTAGGTCCATCAAGGTCTTGACAGAGCCAAAAGAAAAAAATCAATGCAGTAACTGCTGTGTTGCTTTTTGATTAGTGAGAGAAAGCCCCATGTAGCTGTAATATATCACTGATGGTAGCAAGCAGGAATAAAGACATACACAGAGAAGCTAACTTTAACATAAGTCAAGTTTCTGCGTTTTGCATTAGATCAATCCACCTCTAAGTGGACACTCGTGAACACCACTAAACAGACAGCCCAGAAAATAAAAGCATACATTACTAATAGGCTTTCACATTTCCAAGACAGAAGTGTAAATATTTCCAGATTTTATTTACAGTAAATATTCTTTCTTGCCAAGCCAGGTAACTTTCACAGTGGCAGTGCAGTCAATAGGATGGGTTGTTCTCTAATGAAAGGATTTCATTTGTGCCTCACTCAACATGTTTGAGATGCAAGTCTCTGGCTATATGGAATACCAATAACATTCTCCTCAGCAACCAGTACATAAAACAGCTCCAACGCACTCAGGGAAGAGTAGAGGAGAATTACACAAGAACTTATCATTTCCTTTTTATTAAAATTAAGTTTATTTTCATATAACAATTCTCAAAGTACTGTACAACACTGTAGTAACAGGAAAGATTACATGTGATATTTTAAACTTCAGGAAGAACAAAAAGAATTCCTGATCTCATAGGGATGAGTATTCCATAAGCTTGGTACAGTACATATCAGCAGAAAGCTCCATGAACCACAGTCCTATTGAAGGGAGTAACTAAATTAGTGTCAGAGAGGACTGGTGTGCTAACTAGGAGCATAATTTATCAGGTCAGAACACATGGGGGTTCTGGTGGTTTAAAAATACCTAAGTTTTATCGGAGAAATCCTGGTATGATGATCCAAAAATGGCACACATAATTTGTAACTCTCGAAAATAAAATAAGCCAACATCAAAAGGTCTGTTTACACCTTAGAAAAGTGGCATTTGGACAGAGATTACCTTTAAAATGGAAATAATTCCATCTCTTAATGCACATTGTGAATTATTGGCATGTGAATACAAACGCTCATGTGCACAACAGGATTAGTGGTTTATTTATAGCCCTGGGAATGTCTGCAGTAAGGGAATACATTTTGCTTTATTCAAAAAGAATTTAAATACAGCTCTCAAAACTTTACAAGTAACCCTTCTTAACTGAATTGAATTTAATCAAACGGGACAAAAAAGGCATTTACATCTGTCAATCGAACGTTGACATATCCCAGGAGAAACCTGGAATTTCTCAAACTAGTTAGTTTTTTTTTTTGCTTTGAAAACTCCAAAGATGATGATACAGGAAAGTATAAATGTCCACTGTTGACAACAACAGTTCATAAATAAATCAGTAGAATCAAGAATCCGTTCATTTTCACACCACTTTATCCAGTACAGGGTTGTAGGGGAGCCGGAGCCTGGCCTGGAAAGCAATGGGCGCCTGGCAGGAAACTGCCTGAATGGGCTGCCAGTGTATCGCAGGGCACACACACTCACATTAACACCAGGGTCAACTTTCCAGAAGCCAGTTAACCTAACTTAACTGGACCATGGCAGAAAAAACGAAGCACTCATGAAAGGAAAAATAAAAAGGAAAGCCTCAAGGGGAGAGTATACCAACCCCCTGTGTTCGTGTGGAATTGAACCCAGGACCCCAGCAGTGCTAACCGCTGTGACACCCAACCCTGCAGAGTCATCTAAAATTAAATATTAATTTCTACAAATAACATTTTGTGAAACAAAATGCTGGCAGGCATTAAGAGGTCATATCACAGCCCTGAGAGTACGTTTGACTGTCACCAAATACTTACATCCATGCTGAGTCTTGCCTCTTCTGTTCTGTCTTTGATTACAGTATATTACCTGCAAACTTACAAGTGGAGATAAATAACTCCAGTGCACTTTAGAAAGTGGATAAGTATTAGCTGTAGCCAAAAACTGAAATAAAAGGGGTGTCATGATGACAGAAATACAAGAATTCAAACATTTAAATACATATAAACCTGCAACTTTCAAAGTCAAATATTGATTCTTACATTCTTTTAGGACACTGTAAACCAAGAGAAGATACAAGTCACTTATTTATTACTTCTTATAAAACACTTTCCCCATCTACACATGTAAGAAATTCCACTAGTTTTTCTACTTGGGATTCGATCACAAAGCTGTAACCACACACTCTGCACTGGTGATCATTAGGAAGAGTGGATTAATAGATTTCTTGAAATCATGTATTATTATTATGATGTTCCTTATATTGGACTTCTTTGACCCTGGCTGTTAAAGGCTATAACCCAGGAATTTTCCTAAATTGCTAAATCATTAGACCTTAAAAAAAAAACTATTAAAACTGGTCCAACCAAGGCCAAATAAGAATAATAATTTTAATCAATGTATCACAGGCTATAAACTACTTACGATTTAAACAGACTTATAAACTGTACTTACACTACAGAGAAATCAAATGACATTAAAACAACACAAACCATAAACAACGATTTTACTTGGTTTATTTTTTATTTCATTTTCTTATTTTTTTGTTTTGGTTTACAAACAAAGGCACCCATAAATTTTTCCTTGACACTGACAGTCGAGTAATAGGTTCCCTCCTTTTTCACCATTTTAAAATCACTGAAGAGAACGACTATTGTAGTTATACAGACACAGCAAGAACATTGAAGGGGGATACATTCATTTAAGAACCCGGGCACTACACAGTAACATATTAGGCAGGATACCTATACTGTACTGGGGCAAGAACATGTTACGATCACTTTGCAAGCAAAAAGGGTTTAAACCATATTTAACAACACTCCACACCAAAAATAAAAGAGATTAATCTACCAAAAAATAAATAAAAGAGAATTTGAAGATTCGTGTTAATGCATGTGTATAATGACCCCCCTCAAGAATAACAGCACAAAACTGGAGAAAACAAACTTCAATATGTGCTAATAGTTACTTTTTCCTCTAAATCTTTGGATTTACAGATGTAATACAATGTCATTACCTACCATTTTGATAACATTGAAAATGTACAAGTCTGTTTAATTAAATCAAGGGAAACAAAAATGTTCTGAAAGCAAATGCTTCAAATTCATTTTCTTGTATTCAGCAAAACTAATACCCCACAGTGTATTAACTATGTACTGTATACATTTTAACTGGCTGAAGAAAAAAAGTTAACTGCGTACAAATTTTAAACCACCCAAAATGAAGAAAACTGACCATTCAAATAAAAAAACAACAATCTGGTCACTGTTTCTTACATCAGATTTTAACATGGCTTCCAACCCACAACTACAAAGAAGTCACATTGACACTTTATTAAGGAAAAAAAATACAACAGGACATTAATCAACATCATTCTGAATATACAAATCATTAATTGCCACCAAACACATTAGTCATTTTATATAATTTTAACCTCTTCTTTCTTTAGGTGTAAAAGATTTCAGACTGAGGAGAACAACATTTCTATTTACATTCTTAAACACTAGCTACTGTAACAGTTGTAAAAGTTATTTTTAATTAGAGGGGGAAAAATCAGACAAGACTCCATGTGATTTCAGATGACTTCACATGGTCAAGATAAGCGCTAGGATATCTAAAAGGGATTTCATATATGTCTTAAGACTGTTTTAGCGGCAAAAATACAGTACAAAGAAAAACTGGCTTTCTTGAAAAGGGTATACATTAGAAATTATCTGACAAGCTCAAATGCTATCATTATAGTTAACTCAGAATAATGTTTTTTTCTTTTTCTTTTTGTAAATAAATACATCACTTTTTATATTTTCTAAGCACAAAAATAAAAGTTTCTTCTATAACTCAGGTTTTAAACCTCTATCTAATCTTGTTTATTTTTAGCTACCTAAATAGAGTTTTACACAAAGTGATTAGAAAACATAGATCTGATTGCTCTTTTTCACATTTTTAGACATCTGAAAAAAAATCAGGCATAATTCACACACCTTCCAAAAGCCTTTTAGTATCTACAGGTCTCCAGGCTAGTATTACAGCGCTGTTTCAACAAGCAAGTCAAAATGGAAAGCTCTCCTTTGTGATACACATAAGTGCATGTTACAATGCAAGCACAAAGCCTAATGTTCACTTTCCAGAGTATGACAAAAAATAAACACATATATGTAAAAAAAAAAAGATCAACAGTATTTTAAATCCAAGAATCCTGGCAAATATATATACTAAGTGAAGGGTAAACTTTGAGTGTAAAGCTAAAAAACACAAGTATCACCCTCCACTTTTGAGTGGTCTCAAACTCTTTTAAACAAGCATTTACCCATTAACCCTACCGTATATATAGAGTATGTGCTTATATTTTAAAATACACTGAAAGCCAAAAGGGAAAGACACTCCTGTCATTCAACTTTGAATTTAATATATAGTCACACATTTTGGCTCACCACTTGTATAAGTATACTAATAGAATCAGCGAAGGAGATACAGTAAATACATCCCTTACCTAGCTGTTTGGACCAAGCCCAAATCTGACAAGAGATATTCCTAATGCCCAGAGTGCCTATGTCCCTGGGCTGGAAATAAGTGCTATATGCAAGGGAAAGGAGCTACTGATACTTATAGAAATCAAACAAATACATTAACAAAACCATATAGAACTAAGCAACATCTACTGTAAGTGATATCCTGGGCAACACAACTAAAGGATTTATGGCCAAACACTTCTTTAGATGACATTAAACTTAAAGCTGCTGAAACAGTACATTTTAGTTCCTTTATCCCATTCACCCCCTTTGAAAAAACAGGTTCTAATGTATTAAGAAAGTAGCATATTTGCTCAAATTAATATTGGTTCTTCAGCAATATAGGTTTGTTGACTAAATCAACTTCTAAAAGGTCTTTTAATTAATAACAGCAAAAGAAAAGGCTAGGAATATGTAAAGATGTGCAGCGTAATGAAATAAAGATGGAAAAATGAAAGAACAGAAACAGACCAAAATACACAGTAATTTCAATAATGATACATGCATCTTATTCACTCCACCATTTGCTCTCACTAAGAATTCAGAACTGAAAATCACTGCTATCAGCAACCCCAATGCTAGAAAGAACAGCAGTTAACTACTGTCACCCCAGAAGAAGCAGCCCGGCATTTCATGCAAATGAAAAACAATGCCTGCAGACATCAGCATAGTTTAAAGCACTATAAGTTCAATATTCAAATGTACAATATCCGCAAAGGCTCTCTCTGAAGTCAGTAGAACTAATATACATTATAGGGCACTTCCAGGACTTTAAACCTAGTCAGATTTGTGTTTTCTACATTTACCGTCATTTACCGTTTAAGGTCATGTTAAATAACTTACAGACAGAGAACTCGCATAGAAGAAATTAGGTGTCACATTGTCAGTACAGCGACCAAATACCAACAACAATGTCCAGGCTGTGTAAAGCATTTCATCAAATGCATAGCTTTCTGGGGGCATAGCGTGGCACTTCTTAGTACCTCATGGTACTGGATGCTCGGAAGTAGGACAAGAACTTGAAACACAGACTGACGACAAAATACCAGATGTTCCTTGCCATCTGAGACCTTGCAATAAACACTCTCCAAATCAGGACTACTAAGATGGTATTGAAAGCATATCTGATATTCCTTAATCTGAAAGATAAAAAACAAGGTTAGCAGCTAAGGTTACCCAGCATAAAAACATGAAAGAAACATGAGTTGAGTAGGGAGAAATAAAACACTACCAATATGTTTGCAACCATGAGAGACAGGCTCAATATAGATCCTAGAGATTAGAGACAGATGAACCGACAATGCAAGACCACACTTTCCTGTGCAGACAAGAAAGTTCAGAATTTACAGTACCAAATCATCAAGATGCAAAGTGCACATAATGTTTTTCACTTCTCAGTTGTAATTTAAATAACACCCAGTTACATTTTAGCTGGGATACAGCAGAATGTCTGCTGTTTTATCAAGGCATGTCACTGTTATTTCAATAAATAAACATACTGTTTATTATTTTTCCATGCAATATTCGTAAGATTTGGTAAACATAGAAAAACACTTTTCCTTTAGAAATCACTCACATGACAGTTCAGGCATTCTGGATATTACAATTTTAAATAGTACTTTTTCTTAGAAATATCAGACCACAAATATTCCAAACTGAGCCTATAATATTAATTGAAATATAACTGCAATCTGATAAAACAAACCATTTTAAATACACATTTGGGAAAGAAATGCAAGAGATGTATAATAAATATCTACTAGCATAATAACACATGACCTACTTCAAACAGCCTGGAGGAGATGGACTGAGACACATTTTAACCATATTGACAAAAACACTCAGTGCTTTCACAGATTACTCAAAGTTACAGTACTACGATACATCTTTATTTGATTAATGTGTTTTCTAAGAAAAGGGCCATCAGTATCTAGGGCCAGGTAAAGATTAATTCCATGCTGAAAAGTGAAGAAAAGAAACTGAATGTTTCGGATGTGGAGCTTCTTCAGCTGTGAAGGTGTTCTTCTTCACCTGAAATTTTTCAGTTTTTCTTTACCTGTCAGAATGGAATAAACCTTTACCTGTTGCCAGATACTGATAGTTTTTTTTCTTAGAAAACACATTAATCAAATAAAGATGTATCATTTTTAACTTTTGGTATCACCATCAATATCTGTACATTTTGGTGGAGCCTTCTCCAGGGCTCTCAATGTCCTATTAATACCTTTTACTGAATGTACTGTACATACAATAGGACAGCTTACTTGTTCAGATGTTTCCTTGCAGCTGGCAGCCCAGACAACTCCTCATTCAGCACATATTTTTTTGTTCCCATGCAATAGTTCTCCATATACTCAGCCCAGTGTAACTGCCTTACGTCAAAGTTGAAAACCTGAATAAAACCATACACATTTCCGTTAGCTTTGCAAATGGATATATACTTTCAGAAAGGCAGGAACATCATAGTCTGTTGGAGATTTAGCAGGTTTTACATAAACACACAGCCTTCTTAAAAAACATTCTACCATAAATGTCAACATTTTTATAAAAATAAATTATCTAAAACCTTGAAAATCTAAGAAAGAAAAACCTGACCATAACTTTCAATATCTTACAAATCAATCTCAGAAAATAACTTATGGGGTTTATCCTTAAATTATTTTGACACTTCTGTCTATTTATGAGAACCAAACACAATACATTTTAATCCATAATGCTACTGTAACATTCAAAGTGGTTATATTATTGCTTAATAAGAACGAAGCAATTTATATTTCTCGCTGTAGCTTAGGAGACCAAAAGTCATATTTCTTAACCAATTTATTGTACAGCTCTACCCCACTGGTACTCTGTCTAAACAATATACTGGAACTCACCACAGCTGGGACAATACATTTCTGAATACAAATATGGATATATAACAAGAGGAACCTGTTCAGAAGACTTTTTGTAAATTTCTCATAGTACTAGCTGTTTCACGTTATCATTCGAAAACAAGATCCTTTTTCACATTGTATGGTCATTTTTGCTTTCTTTTCTAAACACAGAGCATTTAATTAAATAATGTAACCTAGCCTGTGTGGAATTTGCATAGTCCAGGGACTCAGCTGGCTTTATACACAATGATTCCATTCATATTAAACAAGCCTCTTTATATCCACTTAGTGAATTTCTCAACTATCCCAGAAGAGGCCACTTACAAAGTTCATCTAATAAGGCATTATCACGGAGAGGTTTTGAATATCTCTCATGAATCAGACCCCATGAATCTATATTAAAGCATATCTGATTTTTTCTTCCTAATATTATAAAGACATATGGATATTAGTTCAAGGGACCCTTTGAAATCACAGTGGTAAAAGAGGATCAGTAGTGCAACTATGTAACATAATGTAGGTGAGCCTATAGTTTTTTACCTTCTTGTCTTCTGGGGTTAACTGATTCAGAAGCATGTTGGTGTTGTCGGTGCTCCAAACCCAAGAGTGGCTGGTGAAATATTCTAGGAGCATCATGGCTTTGTGAAGACGAGTGATGGTCTTCATCATTCTAGATTGCATCAGGTTACACAGAAGCAACAGACAATTATGAACAGCTAAAAATGGAGACATCAGACCTCATACTCCATGTCACCAATCCAGTGTAAGTTTTATGCTGGTGTGTTTGAATTAAATGTTCTGCAACATCTCATCATTATACTGTACTCTATTAAGCCAGAACCTCCTAAAAAAGCTATGTTCCATCAATAGCTGTATTTGTAAGAGGATAATAATCACATTAGATCAATTCTATTGAGAAAATTGTCAATTACTGGGAAATATTTACATATGTAATATGGGTTAAATGATATTGTAAATGATATAATTAATTACAATATATTGTAAACTATATATTATACTGCAATAAAATGTATTTTTATTGCAAAGGCTTTGCAGATGTGAGTTTTTAAATGTGAGTTTAAACCAAAACCACAAACATCTATGAACTAAACATTGAAATGTTTGTAATGAAAAATCTCAACAGTATTAAATTCTAATTGCATACTTGAGTGAATATAAAAAAGACTAAACTACCAATTTTTTATATTTTCAATTGAAAATGAAGTAATGACGTAAGAGTGTATGAATTTTCATCTTAACAAGATGTTAACGTACATAAATATGAAAAATACCCTTATTTCTATTACTCCATAAATTTGGATTAATAGAAACTGATATAGGATAACAGAAATTTTTCACATGCTTGATATTATAAATCCTGATGTTGCAGTGTATTGTAAGCTGGACTGGTTTACAGGAGCTCAATATTTATAAATAATATACAGAACAATTATTCTCCACAATAATATATCAGGGGAAAAAAAAAGAAGTAAAATCAACAAAATCAACGCTAGTGATATTCCTGTCCCACTTTCACATTTAGCTTGTACAAGGGAACAGGAAGGCCAATCAGCAACTGGTAGGAAAGTGAACTGTTTGAAATGTCTATATATTCTTTACAATATCCTGAATTGATTGTTTAATTGTTTCGTTCAGGCTTATTTTCCAATGTGCTCACTTTCCTTCCAAGATTGACTCCAATTCGGATTAAAACAAGTGAGGAGAAGAAAAGGATATCACAAACCCACCTCTGTGAAATGACTGCAATGAAAAGGGTGGAAAACATTTTTCTAGTCTTTTCAGGTCAGCAAGCCCCATATTTAAAGCCCCCTTTTGAATGCTTCTTGAAAATTTCTTTGGAGAGAGAACCAGTTCATTTAAGATTGTGATGGGGGGAAATTCAAACAATGGGGAGATGGCTTTTTACACTACAACAGCATCCCTGAAGATAAATTAAAAAAATGATCCATCACATCTGTTGACAAATTGCATTTTGTAAATGCATTTGATGTTTCAACATTACTTGAATTGGATCTACATTTTTTAGCATTGTAGCAATGAGGGAAATTAGAAAAATGCATTAAACACAAGGAATGGGAAATGTTGATTGTTGCAAATTGTGATCAGTATAAGAATATAAAGATTTTATTTAATGGGCCTTGATTGGGGATGCTGACAGATTGCTGACGAGCCCAGAAATGATCTGTCATGTTAACACAAAAGATGAACCGACACTAATACCACATTAAAGACCCATACCAGATACTAACAATTTCGAGATATGTTACGTTTTAATTTTACTATATATATATATTATACAAATAAAGCCCAAAAACTTTAAATCTTTACTTCTTAGGAACATAGCATGAGTCTTTGCAGTAGTTGCAAGTAAGAAAGAAAATTATTGTAAATTAACAGGCTTTTGCATTGTAAAAATAATTCAGTTCATTGCTTTACCTATGTTTTGTAACGCAATGTTACTTTAATTTTGTAACACTCTTAGATGAACGTATACAGTATATAGCACTGTTAAATGTATTATTTAGAAACAGAGCTCCAAAGATAAACAGCTTCTTATATGCTAAATATTTATTCCGCAGATTACAGTAGGCAGTATCCAAACAATGTCACCATTTTCTAGCTAGGTTCATTTTGAACAACATAGGACTAAATATCAATTGAGCATGACTCTGCGAAATGAATTATCATCCTTATCTGCTGTACATTTCCCACAGTCACATCCAACAACTAGTTACAACTTCTTCTAAAATATTTTACTTAATAAATCAATACTGTTTGGATATAGACTAAATGTTATTAATAACACAGTTGGTGTTTCTGTACCATTTATTAACATACAAGGAAACAATTCTATTACACGGTTTATTCTGCTTATTGTGAAGAACTATGAATGTGAACACATCCCTGCCTTCTTGTATTTACAATGTAGGCAGAAAAACACATTTAAGATCAGTCATAAGAGCTACATAAGACACCTGTAGAGATATAGCAAACTCAAACAAGAGTAAGTATCTGGTATTGGTCCAATAACCGAAAGCCCAATAACTCAGAAAACTAGCCAATGTGCTCGGGCACTTGGTATCCAGTATCGGTCAGACTGCACTGAAGAGTATGTTAATTCCTCCTCGCAAAGTGCCAGAGTGAAAGAGGAGACTGGCACTTAGAGATAGTTTAGAGGTCACTTCGAAAGACTTAATGGCATGGCTTACTTAAGGAATGGCTTCAGTGTTACTTTGCTCCACCGATCCAGGCTCAAGAAAATAGGGGCAATAATTTTTTTAAGCATAGAAAAATTTAAAAATTAAAAAGAAAAACCTTTTTAAGCAGAATGTTTAATCTGATCACACTCATCGCAAAACAAGTCAACGTAAGATACTCCTACTACAGTAGGAGTGGTGTAGGGAGAATACTTTTCTCTTTCAAAGCATTAACTCAATTCTCTGTCTACAAAGCCAGCATATACTAGAGGACATGCTTTGCCTTTTTTTTTTATGAAGCGAAACCATTCCCATGCTTCATTACACAGCGTGTTAATAGCATTATGCCAAGTCCAATGCCATAAAGTCAAGCAATGATTGCTTGCCTCCTCCACCACTACAAAACCAGCACCAGCGTGGACTGCAGCACTGATCGCCTTACCGGGGCTTCTGACCCGTCAACCTTAGATACCCATCATACAGCAGCGCAGGTACTGTATGACTGACTGTGGTCCAGTACTGATTCGTAAAGGGGTTGGACCGAAGGTTAACATTGGGACGCCTGAAAGCCTGTTCTAAGGGGTTCATCTTGAAGGACACATTTACATAATACTCTGCAGAGAAAATATAATCAAAACCTTAAAGATACACTTTAATAAATAAAATAACATACAGAGTAAGAATGCAGAACTAGGACTATGGAAGTCTTGGATCTTTAGAAGGCAGCAAGCAGAGTTCTACTTGTTTGCAAGAAGATGGTGACTCCGTTAGTCCTTTACGTTATGCATTCTTGTCTCTATGTATTTATGAAACACATGGAGGGCAACATTTTGGCTGCACTGAAAGGCTGCGGGCTGAAACGATAACAACAGGGGGCTGAGCAAGTTGAATTTACCTTGGTGTTCTTCCTGTTATCCTGAGGTAGATATCATATAGGAATGCTGGTGCCTTGTGGCTTACAGCAATCCAGTATTGATAGATTAGGTGACTGGATGTGAGATTAACATTGGGCCGTCTGAAGGCCTGCTCGAGTGGGTTCCTCTTGAAAGTAGATATAACATGGTACTCTAAGAGAGAAAAGTGTTGTGATAGTATAACGTTTTCAAAGTATCTCTAACCTCAAACGTGGAACAGAATTATTGCATCTGATAGTTATTTTAACATATGCTGCGGGACACTCACTTAGTTATAAACATTGGTGTGCATTTCTAATAAACAACAAGACATCAATTTCATTTTCTAGCACTTTTCAAATGCAGTACACTAAAAGGGTTATCTCTATGGCCTTATTTATTGTTAACAAAAACAGCTGCATAGCAAGATACAATACTCCATATAAAAAACAATTTGGCATTTGAGAGAAAATATTTAACATAATGTACGATGCTTACCTATAAAACTCTTAATGATTCAAAACATTGCTTTGGAGAAAATGCAATAAGCAACTGTAAAATCATTCTTAAAAATGTGTTACATATGGATGACCATTTTTGTTGGGAGTTGAATGCACAAAATTAAGTTGCGCAGTGGTCTGTAATTAAGTGGACATGGGCCAGTGGCTCTCATAAATGATCATCAGAGACCACTGCGTCTGCTGGTTTTAATTCCAACTGAGTCCTTAATCACTGGTGATACCTGGCACATATAAATGATCTGCTTGCCTGATTTGAGTTTTTTTTTCCCCCAGTCATTTATTTCAAATATAGCACTACTAAATCATATGATTTTAAATGTCCCCAGCATATTGAATTTAATGCAACCTCTCCTCAATTTCCTAATTAGGAATTTATTTGTGATTAAAATATTATTGATGAGTTGATATTGAACAAACACAGGTGGGAATGTCAATATATGAAATAGTCCCACAATGTGCTTTTGTTTTTTCCTTCTGCTTAAGTCCATTTGGTTATAGTTCAGATAACACACCTAAACTTAGGGCAGTTCTGAAACTTGGTACAAGTTGATGCTAAAAAAAACTCTGAATATTTTAGAGGCTGAAACAAAATTGGACAACACAAATAAAACAGAAAACTGAAATAGACGTTCTTCTGATTAAAATCTTGGCTGAAGCATAAAAGACTAAAAAGAGCTGAAAACAATACAAGTCTCAAACAAATTCTATTACTAGGTCAATTAAGGGCTTAATTATGTGACTAAGAACTCAGTTAGACCAAACCAAGCAGGGATGGATGTTTCCAATACCCAGAGTGGGAATCCTTAACCCTTAATTCTGACAAAATATGCAGGTGGGACACTACTCGTATCCCATTTGCAGGCCTCCTCTACAAAAAACAAAGGCTTTGAACCAGGAATCAGCTCAACCTTGGGTTTGGAGACTGAAGATAATTATATATAATAACCAGATGAAGCAGATGCACACCAGACTAAGCAATGTCAGGGTAACTGAAATGGTTTCAAAACTCAGTACCTCAGCAACTTCTCCCTGTTTCAGCTGAGCAGGTGTGCAGCATATAAACAAAGGACTTCTGTTTGCCAGTTCTATGATCCGCTCATGTAGAAAGAGGTATCCATATTCCTGGCTGCACTGGGGTTTAAACTAAATGACATACTTCGACTCTTAACAAACATGCAGGTAAACTTGAACAGATCTTTATAGATCCTCTTTCATTAAAAACTATTACTCATGAGAATGGTGGCCCTGCAGATGATCTGTCTACATGACCACTTTATGAGTCAGGGCCACTAACTTTTGTTGGAGAAATTTTAAAAATAGAAAAGCATACTTGTCTACAGGGTCCTAAATAAACTGTTTCTATTTCTTGATCATTTGTAATATAAAATGCATCCATACCAACTTCACCCCAGTGAAAGGGGTTGACGCCACCTGTTGTGCAGTTGTACACCAACACACTTCTTGGCCTGTAAAGCCAAACATAAGAATAAGAACATGGGTAAGGTCACAAACACAGGCCACATGGTCTTCTTGCTCATTTTGCTAGTTTCTTATTGATCCTGAGATCTTATCTAATCTTTTCGCAAAGAATCTCCCAAAAACAGCTTCAGAGTGCGGCTGGGAAGTTTGTACGAAACATGCAGTATTTACACAAAAGGGGTTGTGCATCAAATCATGCCTTGCTAGAGCATCATGACATAATTTTGCAACATGGCAATAACATAGATTCTTAAACAACAAATAGGATTTCTTTCCTTTTACATAATTAAACATTTATTTAGTTTAAAAAAAAATCTCAAGCCATTAAGAATAAAGAGAAGAAATCACCTGGTATATCTGTGAACTCCAGAGTACCATGCTGCAGCCAGTGTAGTATTGATGACTACGTCTACTGGGACAAGATCTGCTACAGCACTATTAGAGGCTCTCATTGTACGAAGGATTCCCTTTCCAGCCTACAAGTAACAGACAGCACTGAAAAAAACCTTTTCTCAATACTATATACAGTTTTAAAAAATCTTTTAGGGGTAAACTAAGAAAATAAATAACACACCTCACTTTTCTTCTATTCATTTATTTACCTTGGCATATGGTGAGGATTTTATGAATATATAAAATTGTTACTCAAAGTGTTGTTTCTTCAAGGTGTATAAGCAGACAGGCTTAGGTTGGGTAAACAAGGCTGACACTACTAACGCCTGTCCTCACTACTATGCAGATAATAAAGCCTCCACAGGTTTTTCATACTATTCGGATAATATAAATCAAAACAATCACACCTCATTAAAAAGTGTATTTGGTTTAAAAAAACTTGCATTGATAGTAAATAGTCAGTTTCCAACCAGACTGTATAAACTGTATTAGGTGCAATGTCAACGATGTAACCCATTTCTCCCTGCTTACGCAAAATGACACATTTCTAAAACCTTGAAACACAGAGACACATAACATAATACGGCTAAATAAAGCCACAGATTTTTTTTTCAAGATGACTAAAAATACTTTTAAAGAACATCTCTTACCAAAAATTAATTTAACCCATCAAAATTCTGCTAATTCTAGGACGTGGTATCTAATTGTTAACTAAGACCGCTACAATGTCATTCACAAAATTGAACACTCACAGCAATAAATATTCCACTGGGTCCATTAAAATTATCAATCCAGCCCTAGGAGGAAAAAAAGAGACAAGATGACTAAGGGTTTTAAAAAGATTTCTTTCACTTTAACATGTCTGTAGCAAACTACTGTCTTTGCCTTACATGGTCACAAAGAACACTATTGTTCTTCCCAAGGCACAGTGAAAGCAATACAAGAGGAGAATAAGACAAAAAACGAAGAAACTGCATTCACTTTTTAGTTAATGTTACCTGTGACAGAAATATGTTCTGAATTTCAAGATTAAAAGCAACAGTAATTTTCCTATCCACACAGAACTGCTCTGACTTGAAAACACTTTTACAAAGGTTTTATCTATGGATTGTGGAAGAAACCTTTGACAGATTGCTTTTTTGTGGCTGCTCCCTGGAATTCCTTCATTTCCAGCTCTTAGGTTCCAATGTCCTACTCCACTTTACTGTCAACCTCTTACCCACAGATTCAGCACAGAACAGCTTCCGCTCTGTAGCCCAAAGGTGCCTTAACTGGAATGAACTCTGTGAGCTTCAGGTTGGGAAGTGCTATACAAGTATGAATCTTCAGATGCAAAAACAAATCCTAAACAATTATTACAATATTGACTCATAAGGTCTCAAATGCCTGTATGAAGAATGATACTACCTAAGAAATAAGCCTCCTTTCCTACCATCAATGGTTTTGACTGCATATAGCTTTCTTCCATGCACTTACTGGAAATGGCTCCATCCAGCTGGCTCCCACAATAGAAGGTCTTATAATTGCCACATTGAGGTTTCCACATTCTTGCTGAACCACATATTCTGCCAGAGCCTTTGTATAGGTGTACGTGTTTGGCCTGTCTCCAATAAGCTTTGGTGTAATCTCATTAATGAGTTTATCATCCATCCACCTGTAAAAAACAAAACTGCTTTCAGACTTTTCATAAGAATTTTATTATTATTATTATTATTTTTAGCCCTTAAGGCATGAGTATGAATTAGAAAATATCCACTGTACAGCACCTATCACCAAATCGATCCTTTGTGGTAAGTGAACTAATTGATGGCTCTGATGAGTTTATCTCAAAAAGGTTCTCAAATATACCTTATACATCCATTCCTCTTAAAACGTGATTCAAAAAATTATTACTCTACTTCACTCTAATGTAGTCTTTCAAAATCACACTTGTTTGTGGTCTGTAATTGAAAAATAATGCATTTTTAACCTAATACTAAGCTGTGGAAAATGTTCAAAGTTACATGTGGCTACAAAACACAACAGCTGATAACGGCCTTCAATGAAGACAAATCTGACATTTCATCTTTCAGAACTGCAATGCAATACAAACTTAGCAAGGCAAGAAAAAAAAACATTGCTGGTACTCAGCCAAAGGTTTTATGACTGATGATAAACACTACACAGAGCACACCCTTAAAAAGATTGGTACCTTCAATCATGTCTTGAGAGCATTTCTTGAAGTGACTCAAATGGTGATTTGTCATAATAACAATAACAGAAAGACTTTTAATAGTCTTCAGTTATGCCAAGTTTGAAAAGGGGAACCAGGATGGAAATAGTCACAAAATACTTTGGTGCTACAATATCAATCCATTAAAAATCCCTGCTAAATTTGCTTGTGTGCATAACTCTACAGTAAATCTACATATACTACATCCAGGACCTACTTAGCAAAACAGGTATTTTTGTAAAAGCAGAGAGGTGAGGTCAACATTACGTTGAGAAGAAAACTGGTAAAGATGTGCTAAGCATTTCAATGTGATTAAGTCAGAAGACGTTACAAGTACATGAATACAACCCAGATGACTAAATATGTTTTATATACTATTCATTATGCATGTACTATTACTGTCACATTTTAAAAATTCTCCTTGTCAATGCAACAATGAGCACTATGAACAACTTATGTCCATTTCTTTACAGGTGACCTCAGTGCTTCAGGGGAAGACAAGGCAAATGCTTTACCTATGCTAGTCTAGTAAAGCAAGCACCAGTATTTTTGCATGAAGAACACATCTACTTACTGACAAAAAATGTTGTGCACAAGAAAGAAAAACAAAACATAAAAGTAAAGGGCATGTATTTCACCATTTCTGCAAAAATCTATAATAACACTAACTATAGAACAAAATATATTAAAGCAAGCATGTAATAAAGCTACAGTTCTGAGATAATTTAAGCTCCCTAAACCTTTTTCAGCAACCACTCAATTTAATTTAATTTCTTTTAATATAAAAGGTTATTGTAGTAGTCTTCTGTCAGCCAACACTATAACCAACTAAATGACTACTAAACATTGAGTGCTACTTTACAGAATTAATAAAGGCCCAGGCAATTAAAATAATTTTCTAGAACAAAATGCTTGTTTTAATGCTAATACTACTATTGCTAATTTCAATATCTAGGTCAAAAATAAAGGCCCTTTAGAAAATCAAAAATTAGTACAGTACAGTATTGTATTATGTTTCCACGCATGATTGCAACATGAAAGCTGAACAATTTCATGAACATGACCAAACAAGGGCAAGATGGAAAAACGTCAGGTAGAATCTCTTCAACGAACAAGGTGGAGAGAACACCATTACAACTCACTCTAAAGAGTCAATAAGCTTCTTATAATCCACCGGAGGTGGGTACACTACTTCTTCAATGAGCTTGCGGTTGCAGTTGGCGTACGCTGTTGAAACATGGATGAAAACCTCAAGCTGCTTCATTCTATGAGCCAGGGCTATAAGCTGCTGGGTAGCCAGAACATTCAGCTGCACTGCATCCCTTGAAAAGAAAACAGTGATAAGAAACGGAAACATCAGTACTGCTGTGGACTTCAGTGCATAACAAAGTATTAAAAAAATGCGGCTTCAAAATATTCACGTACATACATGCAGGCAGATTTAGCTGGCAGAAATGCATTCATGAGAAATTAGCCTTTTTGAACCTTTGATAGCTAAGGACTATGACAGACCAATCAATTGTGTAACTGCAGTGATTGTGTAATAATGCAATTGTGTAATTAAATTAAATCACTTTGAGCACAACAATTCGAATTCTTCAAATAAACAGCAATAAAAACTCTGAAGGGAAGTGGCCTGATGAAGGGGCAGTGAAGTGAGAGAACTGATGGGCAAGATCTACAAAGGGAAAATGCCTGTAATACAGTCAAAGGGGTGGCAACATTAGCTACAGGCAAACTCATAGCACTGTCTTTCCATGCTCTGCAAAATGGTACCAGAGCAGAAACCGCTTACGATTACTCACTTCAGTGGCTCATTGAATCTGACAGTGGCAGCGCAGTGGAAGACAATGTGAATGCAGTCGGCAAGTTTCTCTTGGTCCTCTTTGCTCAGGTCAAGTTCAGACTGCGTCAGATCACTGCTCACAGCAATAACTTTGTCTGCAAAATTTGGCTGCTCATCCCTCAATCTATCGAACAGCTGAGGAAAGAAGGGACACATGCTTTAAAAAAAAATCAATAAAACTGAAATAAGAAGAGAGAAATTTGAATTTTGGGGAGAAATCACATCGAAGTGTTTGCTTTTTATTTCTGCTTGAGTGAAGACAGAGTGAAATCAATGTGGGATTCTTAACCACAGCATGAACAGCAACTGTGGCAGGTGCAACTACAGAAGTGAAAGTACAGTGTACATCTGATGCAAGACACATGGTGACCCCCTCCCGTCTCATCATTCAAGAAGGAAACCAAAATGAAAAGTGAATTTTCCGCAGTGCTCCGATAACTCTGTTAAGAAATCATGAGCTGGTTATCTCCATTCCCGAACCTACCTTGCAGTTCACCATGTCATCAATCCGTGCTTTGGGGGCTTGCCCTGCCTTTTGCCTCACCAGCACATACACAGCGTTCACAGCGGGACAGGAGCGCAGCAGCTTTTCCAGCAGGACTTTGCCCATGAATCCGGTGGCGCCAGTGATGAGGACATTCTTCCCCTCGTAGTATTTAGGAATTGAAACCATTGTGCCCGTGGCAACCTTGCTGAAGTGTATCTCCCTGAAGGAATAAAAGCAGAATGGCAACTTAGCATTATCTCAACATTTCATACATTTCATACATTTATACAAACAAAACAAAACACTGTCATGTACATGCTTCTTATGCAATTGTGAAGTGATGGAAAGTTTTTGTTTTTTTCTCTGAACCCTGGGATAGTCACAGAAGTGTAAGGTATGAATTGCCAGAAGCCATATCACACTGCAGCTCACAGCTGGCAACCCACTGAAGCTAAGCAGGTGTGAGCCTGGTCAGTACCTGGATGGGAGACCTTCTGGGAAAACAGTACCTGGATGGGAGACCTTCTGGGAAAACTAAGGTTACTGCTGGAAGAGGTGTTAGTGGGTCCTAATGCCCCAGTATAGTGACAGGGACAGCATTACTTGTTATCAGCATTTGCCTCTTCAGTGAAACTGAGGTTATCTAGAACAATCAGATTAGTTTGTCTTTACAGGGTAATAATTAACACAACTGCTGATTGGGAGCATGCAGTATCTGAGCAGGATACTGCTCAGTATAGTGACAGGGACACTATACTGTAAAAAGGCACTGTCCTTTGGATGAGACGTAAAACCGAGGTCCTGACTCTCTGTGGTCATTAAAAATCCCAGGGCGTTTCTTGAAAAGAGTAGGGGTGTACCCCCGGCGTCCTGGCCAAATTTCCCATTGTCCCTTATCAATCATCCCCATCTATGAATTGGCTTCATTACTCTGCTCTCCTCCCCACTGATAGCTGGTGTGTGGGGAGTACAGGCGCACTATGGCTGCCGTCGCATCATCCAGGTGGGGCTGCACATTGGTGGTGGTGGAGGGGAGTCCACATTACCTGTAAAATGCTTTGAGTGGAGTGTCCAGAAAAGCGCTATATAAGTATAAGCAATTATTATTAAGGTAAAAAAAGGAAAAAAATATTACTGTAGGTTTGTAGGTTTTTTCGGTTTTAAACAAAGTGATGGAATGTAATAAATTCTTTAAAAGACCACTGAAATTCTATTGTTTAAATGCATTATAAACAAAAAATTATAGTCATAAAATGGACTGAGAACATTTTCAAAAAGCAGTTAAAAAACAGTATAATACTATCTTAAAAGTCCAAACATTTTTATTACGAACGTGCAACTACTTTCAGCAAGTACAATAGGACAGTCAGTATCCTGCTCAGATACTGCATGCTCCCAATCAGCAGTTGTGTTAATTATTACCCTGTAAAGACAAACTAATCTGATTGTTCTAGATAACCTCAGTTTCACTGAAGAGGCAAATGCTGATAACAAGTAATGCTGAAAGTTTTTTCAGACCCAATCAAGCCATATAAAATATAAATATTATGTATCTGGATGATAAAAGCTTAGTAGTAGAAAACTGTCCTGAATTGAAGCGCATCTGTAAAATATTAATATTAATTAAAATATATATAAAATAAATAATAATTTAAAGTTTAATAGCTTTTAGATGTGACAAGGTGTAGGCCCACAGCTCCCACCAATGTCAGAATCCAGCAAGTATTCTAGGTCTCCAAGTCAAACAGCTGACGGCCGTGGAGATGGATTAAATTGATCCAGTTAAAAACTAAGTGGATCCCTTTAACACTTCTCCCAGGAGAGGAGTTGTTTTTTTTTTACTTATGGAGAAACCTGCTTGACCCTAAGTACTGCAAGAAAGTCTTGAAAGGCAAAACCAGTTAGTAATATTTAAATATTTTTGTATAATATTTTTGTTTGCTCACGATTCCCAGCCTGTTCATCTGCATGGAAAAGCACAGTAAAATGTCAGGAGGTTTTGCCCTTGCCAGGAAACCCTCATGCTTCTGTCACTGTAGACTGATCAGAAGTTATCATTTCACTATACTGTATAGTGAATGTGATATTATTAAAGATGCAGGCTTCATTTTTTCAAAAATGCAGGCATATCTTACTTCTGTCAATTTGATTTGTTATTTCAAAACTTACTTGGTCTCAACTTTATGATACTAAAGAAACCATCCTGGAATAAAAAAATACTTTTTGCTTACATTTCTCTTTTACATACTGCAGCAGTTTGCAGGTACTGTAATGCTATTTTAGCAGTGCCACTTTGTTGGAGGCAGTAGTCAATGCTTTAATGCATAACTTTTCTGCCAAGCTACAACAACAGTAGGAACCTAAAACAAGCAGATCTGGAGCCAAATAAAACAGACCCTATTGTAAACCAAACAAAGCACACCCCAATGTAGAAATTAACTCACCAAACAGTACATGGGATGAGTTTACAAGAAACATGCAAAAAAGATAAACATCATTTAATGTCTACAACAACTGTATACCAAACATTTTATAAGCAGTCATGAGAGAACGATTTCTCCAGAAATATGTACAGTGCCATACAAAAGTACTGTATCTATGCCCTTCCAATGGTCAAAATTTTGTGACATTAAAACATATGCATTTGTGACATATGCATACACATTTTTTAAACTTAATATTTTATTCAAACCTGAATGCCCTAACTAAAGACATCCAACAGTACGAGATGTTACGGTACGTCAGCAAAACCTAAAGAGAACAGAAAATGAAATATGGCAATGGTATAAGTATTTAGGCCCCTGAACTCAATGTCTGGTGACAATTCAACTGTAGCAAGGCACTGTACAGTTTATGTAGGCCAGTACATGAGATTAATTCTTTACATAACTAAGATCTCAAAAGATTTTCACTGTTCTAAAGATGAGAGAGGCGATTAATGATCGATGGTGGTGTAGTAACTGAAGAGACATTTAATTATCCCCCAAAATAACAAACAATACTAAAGGGGGTCTGTAAACACTTTAAGCAGGGCAGAACTGTAAATGGACTCAATGCTACAAGACGACTTAGAAGGAGTGCCTTGTGTGTCATGGTGAAGCACATTCTTCTTTCACTGGATTCCTACCCTGAATACGCATCATATACATGCTTTTGTGGCATGAAGAAATGCCAAGTTTAAAACTCCACCTTCTGTTCACACATTTTTCCACCTCAACTGTCCTATGTACAGACACAAATAAACAAATAACAACTAAGTATGATTCAGACATATTTTAGAAATGTAGGACTATTAATGACCCCACCACCACCAACCCTGCACCCTGGCCCTGATGTTAAAACTAATAATTCAATACAGGCTTAAATGCCAAGTGTATAACAGGAACCATATGTTGCAGGGGAATCTGAAAAATAGGAAAAATAAAAACAGTGTGCTGTTTGCCGAGACCAGTAACCTTGAAAGCCATACCTTTTGGCTCAGAAGCAAAAGGAATATCCAACTTAAATGGACTCACAATAGACAACTGGCTGTGGTGTCAAAATATGCAAAAGAGTACATCCTGCGGGACTTTCATGCTGACAGCAGCTATGTCTTTGCTGTGGAGAGCAGAGTTAGTTATTTCTGCCTGCCAAGGGTTTGAAGCTGTGTGTGCTTCCCAAGAAATATGCTGCAGTTATTCCAGATGGGAAATAACCTGTATGGTGAATGTAGTGGGGGAGACAAGAACTTGAGAAAGACACACAAAAAGAATCTGCTTCCAGCTGTCTCCAGTAGCTTCTGAAATACTGATGCTTCCATGCTGAGGAAAGCAAAAAAAATACATAAGTTTCCTGTTAAAAAACGGTGACAGAACAGGAAAGATATAGTATGGGCTTAATTTAAGCACAAAAAATATTTAATGCATTTTTACTTATTCTATGGATAGGATCTATGCAACATAGGTTCGTTTCTTTTAAATTACTTCAGTTTTGCATGTTGTTTCAGCAAGTAGGAGAATCGCTAATCCTTAGATAACACCATAGCAAGTTCCAGTTGAACCCCCCATCTTATTTGAATAAATGTTTCATTGAAGGCAGTAATGAAACATATCAGAAAAGCCCTGGAACCTTTATTTTCATATTTTATTTCTATACTATTAGAGGACAAGAAAGGGAGTACCAGTTAACAATATAAATTGAATATTGCCATGTTTCTTCCATTCAGAGAAGCTTTTTCTCAACTGTTGTTCCATATTATCTTCTCAATTTACTTGGTTGGCACTGAAATGGGAGTCTGGGTCGAATAATATTTAATATCTAGTCAAAAAAGGTTATTTATCTAGTTATGGTGCAGACAATTAGCAGAACAGGTGGGACTTTCCACTTTCACTCTTTTAAATTTCGGGCGGAGCGGTGGCTCTGTGGCTCAGGATCTGCGCCTGTGACTGGAAGGTTGCCGGTTCAAATCCTGCAGCTGGCAGAGGGATCCTACTCCGTTGGGCCCCTGAGCAAGGCCCTTAACTCCAACTGCTCCAGGGGTGCTGTACAATGGCTGACCCTGCGCTCTGACCCCAGGCTCTCTTCCTATCTGTGTGTCTGTCTGTCTCATGGAGAGCAAGCTAGGGTTTGTGAAAAGATAATTCCTAATGCAAGAAATTGTAAAGGGTTAATAAAGTGATGTTAAACGTTTAGAAAGAGTCCATTTCTGTCCTTTTACGATATGAAAAAGGTACATTTAATTATGTTATTTTAATATTCTAAAGAATCTCCATAGGAAAACATTTAGTTTAGTAAAAAATAGAGTTCTTTTAATCCTCCACCACAAAAACAAAGTCAGCACATTGTGAGTGCACACAGACTATAGCTGGTCTGCAATAATACAGTAAAATGTAATGAAATTTAGATTTGCATCTCACATTTGGGATCTGGACTTGACCACACCAAGAATGGCTTTTTCATTTCCATTTTCACATTACAAAACACTGAACAACAGCTCAACATTTTCCACAATGAAAGTGGTACAGTATATATGTATTCTCAAATATACATTATGTTAAATAAATCATTTATGACAACAATAAATCAAGCATCAATATCTAATCCTGCGCAGAAATGCTAGCATAAGTGTCATAGGATCAGATACAATGATCTCAGTAGAATGAATTTAGGCTGCCATACTACTACTTTGTTATAACTGTTTGTTATACCAGCTGTAACAAACAGGAATAAAAGCGTTAGGTTGAGGTTGTTGAGGTTGTTGTTACTTCGTCTGATGAAGAGGTTTCTAATGCCAAACAGTTTTATTATAAATAAAAATGTTTCTTGAACATGCATAGTTTTGAGATACATATTCACAAAATCTCTACTGTACAACACTAATAACACAAAGACACAGAGTGTGTGGACCCACAACTATTCCTAACAAAACACAGACAGACCTAGAGCTTTTGAGTTTCTAAAATACACCCAAACAAACCTCATTTGCTATTCTTAATACCGAAAGGCACAGGTTTGTGAATGGGTCTGTCATAAGACTGGCGGTAATGAAATCAAAATCTTGTGACTACGAAAAAAAAATTCAAAAAGTTTTAGCCATGCCTTTTCTCCAAAGGCATGTGTAACTTTTTAGTGAAATGGTTTCCTAAAAGGAAAATCAAGATATTGGTAATGGTCCCAGACAGCACTACCACTGAATGGACTTTTATCACTGCAATATTTAAACTAAATTAAACAAATGAAATGCTCTTTAAGAAAATGTATGCAAATATTAAGATGCATTGAGACTAGGACAGTTCACTATACAACACAAACTTTAGCCTAAATCTGGAAAATGAAAAGACGAGACATGGTCAGGGGCAGCAGTGTGGAGCAGTGGTCAGAGTTCTGGACATCAAACTAGAAGTTTGTGGGTTCAAATCCAAAGTGAAACACTCCTGTTCCACCCGAATCTTTAGACTGAAGCATCAACCAAAAGAAATTTGATTTGTATTATTAAGTAAAAACCTAAAAATAGGTATGGAAGAGGAATACATATGTAAATATAATAAATATACATAAGGTGCAAAACTAGGAATGTACAGGATAGCAAACAAAATGCACAGTACAACCTCAACAAATCAAAGGAACACTGTGTTGATTCTCCAAAGATGATGTTGGCCCTGCAGTAGGAAACTCTTATATAGTTTTTACCAGTGAGCTTCACAACATACACTCCCCTTTTGTGTAAATATTGGGTAAATCTGTATTTTTATGTGGACGTCTCTCAGGCGTATAATTTAAAGTTAAATATTAAGAGAGCTTTTAGAACTCTGAATCATGCATTCTGCACTACCACATTTAATAACAGCAACTGACTATTAACATACATTACCTCACATACTCTTCAACTGCATAATGTAGTATTTGCATATCTCTGGGTTTCAAGTGATTTGCCAATTCATCAGTAAAACAGAGTCTAATGGTTTTGCTAATATTAGTACTGTGATGGGAGACTCTGTCTCCACATCACCTGGCACTTGTGAGGTATCCACACACACACATATATGCCAACAGTTCATCGCCAAAGGTGATAAAACTGTTTTCAAACACATACAGACTTTAACTGGTCTGAAATCTCAGGGATAGCTTTGCTTTCCTTTGTGGGTGCACAAACAGAGCAAAGTAAGGTAATTCAAGTACGATCAAAAATTAAATATTTACTCAAATCATACAACTGTATCCTTTGTTATCATAAGTGAAATAAAACACCAATTTAGCCACAGACATTTAGTTAACTCACGTGTTTCTAATGAACCCAAACCATGACAGAGCAACAGGAGCTGGCTTAGTAGTGCCTGTCCCAGGGTTCGGTACATGAGAAGATACCATTGTGTGGGGGTAGTATTTTCATAAAAACAAAAACATACATAAAAGGATTATTGGCATTTTGATTTTATCAATAATATGTTAATTGTGAATTGTGAATGGGAAAGTTTTATGTCAGAATTAATTTTTGGATTATAGCAGAACCTTTTAGGGGGTGTTTTACTTAAAAAGGGAGCCCCTCTGGAAAAGAAAAAATAAGATAGGAGGAAGTTTGTGGAGTAGTGCTAAGATAGAGTTACCTACACCATTTTCTTTTCCTTGTGTTTTTTTTTCCTTTGATTAATTTCTTTTTTCACAGTGTTTTTTGTTTGTGTGCACTTTGGAAACGCAGCTCCTCCCAATAAGCACCATTGCACTTCTATGCAACTGTGGCTGTGCCATCATTATCACTCCACCATTCTTTCTGTGCTTCTAAACTACTGAAGGATAAGACTGTGACAATTATTCTTATGCTGCATTATATACACAACATAACTCACTACAGTATCTACAAGCTTGTCACTTTTAAATTGACATTCACTATCTTAAAAAAGTAAGTCTTAACTCGAACACTAGCTTCTAGGATGTGTATCCTACTGTAATCTTAAAAGCATTCAAATTTCAAGGACGTTGAAAACAGATTATGACACAGAAAGCTAGGACACATTCCTGTCAGAAATACTTCTTTTAGAACTAGTCTACAATTACAGAACTGACGCACCTCAGATCCGAGCAACGGATACACAAAAGTGAAATGACAGTGTCACGGAGTATTGTCATATTTATATTTACTGTTTACAATATAACAGGACCCCAGAAATATTCAACTATCTCTCATTTTCTAATGCAAAATTAAGAAATAAGTACAAATAACTTGTAATACTAAAGGAGATGAACTATCACAAGCAGCAAGAAACGTAGCTGTCTCAGCCTGGTACTCTTAAACATTCAATAAGCTTCTGATTTCAAATAAACAGACACTCACAGATGGTTTTCATTTTAAAAAAGTGCATCCATTTAACGGAACAATAACTGCCATTATTCAGCTGAAGTTCAGCCCAACATTTACAGTAGCAACCTTACGTAGTTACTGTAGTGTTACCAGAAAACAGGAACACTGTCGCACCCATGCTGAATTCATCCACCTCTAGTAACAACCTTGTCTCTTCGGAGCACTGTCCCTCGATATAACTTCCAAATTATATCAAGATTCCCCGCACTCTCTCGAAGGTGCGAAAGAAAATCGTGTTTGTGACTTCCCCTTTCGCCTCAATCAAGACAGCCTCTCAGGTTCTGGCTCGTAAGTGGTCATGATTAATACATAACTCATTTAATAAAACCCAGACAAAACGCATCGATTTTTTATATAACCGCACTTATTGAGGAGCGCCCCTGAAGAATTCTGTACAGATGTATTTTTTCTTTCTGTGTAGGTCCGCATAACAACAACAACAAAAAAAATATTTTCGCGATATTAAATTAAAGGATACGCCATCTTCAAACGCATGCAGAATTCAAGAATAAAAAAAAAAGTAGCAAATGAACCCAGCAATGCGCCGCGGACGAGCGCCACTTCCTGGAAATATACCCTCTTTCCTCTTTCGAACAAAAGAGTGGAGAAGCACCTTGCAAATATAACCCACGCATTACACAATGCAAAACAACATCGTAAAAAAAACCGCAGTATTGTACCTGGAAAAAAAAAACGGTCCTCCTCCGTGTTACTTCTCCCTTTTCCCTTTTCCGCTGTAACTGCTGTCAGCCCCGCACTGTAACACAAGCCTTACCGCCCAGCAGTGATCAGCGGATGATCAGGCCACGCCGCTCTCTGTGCAGGATGTTTAATCGAGCCCGTCTCATCGATGCGCCCGTGAGGCGTGCGCCGTTCTGCCGAATTGTGAGCTTCGTGTTCTGCACGCTCCGGCTAGACTGGTTGGTTGGAGAAGAGGGGGTGTAATTCAGAGATAATATTTAAGGATTCATGAATCACTACTAAAATGAATATATCAGATTGGTAAAAACGTACACAG